ATCGGCCGGGCATTGCCTTTCTCTGGAGGTAGACTTTTAGGCTGGTTCTTTTGTTCCTGTGATGGCCTGTGTCCTGTCCTTTCCTCCGAGTTGATGAGTCTGCTGAAACCTGTTATCTGGGGGGGGTTCTTTTGCAATTCGTGATTTTTGGAAAAGGAATTCTACCTCGACCTGGAGGAGAATTCCTTATTCCATACTTTCATTTAGTTATAATTATACATACTTTATTTAAACTTCTTATTCCGAATTTTTATTTACCCAATTCTTTATTACAACCTGCAACGTCATCTTCTTTGTATTGGAAATTCTTTTTTTAAGTTGCTCCACTGTGAGCCAGAGGGTGCGGCTTTCTGTCCAGATACTACAATTTCCTGGACATTCAAAGCTTCCTGTTATTCAAAGCGAGCTGATCCACTTCAACTGATAAAGGTATTATGTGTTTGAGTAGGTTTCTCTGCTGCAAGAGTCAGGGATGCTTGACACTTGTTAAATGGAGGTTTCCAAATCCCACAATGTGCTGTGTACATTCCAAGTGCTATGTCATTCATCAGCTGATTTAATTTACAGATCACTAAAGACAGTATGATGCAGCAGTGGTCATTAGAGGCCAAAGCAGACGGGATAGGAACTGCTAGCAAAAAAGAAGGTAACATATAATATAGTAAAGAAAAGTTCAGTTACAGCCAGCTAGAGAATGGCAAAAGGGAAACCTGACAGATTCACAGCCAGTCAGATCCCCAGTCCACTGGAATCACTACATTTGGAAGAAATCACTGTTTAGTTTAATATCCTGTGCGTCATTGTGGTCAATGAGCATAATAGAACTTGTATTTATGGAGAGATTGCTCATGTTCATTGGATACCTGGAGGAAAAAAAGAGGAACTAGGGAAAGAAGTGGAGGGGAAAATCATTGGCATAAAAAGCAAGGGCCACATTAGAGGAAGAAACAGATTCCCTACTGAATTTATCACTGGGCTTGGGAAGGGTTTTTTTTTAATTTCAAAAGTATTCAGCAACAGAGCATAGATTTAGAAAACACAGAATTTTAAGTCCAGCATGTTTAGTCTTCCAGAGCTTCCTCAGCATTCAGGATACAGTTTAGCTTCCAAAGCAGCAGCTTTACCTGTCAGTCAGGAAAGCAGGACATGAAAGTCAAGTGACAGTAAGTACACTGTGCTTAAATTAGAATGCCTTTTGCTCCAGAATCTCAAAATGCAACAAAAGACTTTCATAAAGTAAGGGTCCCTTCACAATGGTCTTTAAAAGGTACCAGTATTACACTTTTATTTTTCCCTCTAAAAGAAAGTTCAAGAAACTTGAAATATTTCTTATAAAAGGAATACTTTTTAAAATTTCTGACTCTCCATAAAGACCTAATTAACAGTATATCCTAATTTAAATAATCTTTTAAAAATTACTTGTCTCTTTTTTCTTTCTCTCCTTTATATTTGTGAGATTGTTTTCAGTAAGGGAAAAATGTGCTGGCAGTAGCTGTGTCCTTTCAATGCAAATGGGTAACTGCAGTGCCTCTATCAATCTCCACATATACCAATTTGAGAACAGAGCTGTATTTCTACATTTATATGCCAAATAACCTTCCATGTGCAAAAAAAAAAAAAACAACAATAAATAGAAGCCAAAAGAAGACCAACTATTTTCCTCTGGCTTCATTAAAAATAAATTAAAAAAAAAAAAAAGTAATTTTTATTAATCTTTGTGTGTCTATCTATGTGTGTTTACGTGTATTTGCTGTCCTCTGTTACTTCTAGGTCTATTTCAGGTTGACTAATTACCTGGAAATCCCTGTGACTTTGGAGAAATTTCTTTGGAGCATTGTGTCACATCTTCTACAGCATGATCTTCTCCAGCTTCTCTTCCTTCTAAATTTCTTTTCCTGCAGTTGCTGTCTTTGGTACCTCTTTGTTTTCCTAAACTGGTATTAATTGCAGATTTCATTAGCATTTTCCTAACTCTGTGGGTTTGGTCACTATTACATCCACCAAACACCACCCCTGGAGAATCCCATAGAGCAAATTGTCATAAATCAAAACTTTGCCTTCTATCATTCTCTAGATAAGGTTCTACGGCATGTTTTAAATCTCTGGAAATCCCCGCCCTGCCCCACGCCTTCCAGTCATTTCTCTGACAGTCGCTTAACTCTTAATCCAGCGTGGTGGCTGCTCGGTGCAGTCTGAATTTAGAGCACATTAATGCCCTGCCCACGGCCTGGTGCCCTTCCTGCCGGCGTGCTGCATCCCCAGCCCCAGGGACAAACAGTGGCAAATGCTGGGCAGCGCGGGGGGGAGGGACTGGGGGCAGCCGAGTACAGCGCTCACTGTTCACACAGGGAAAAGGAGCTTAGTTCAGCTTGGCCTTTAACAACGCTGGCCTCTGGGAGAAATTAGAGTAGCTAATTCCATCCACGGAGAGCCCGCAGGAGCTGAGGTTGTGCTGGCTTCCAGGTTATTATGTGTGGGATATCGGGACTGAGGAGGCAGATAAACGTGAGCTTGAAGCTGTAAACATTATTCATACAAAGTGCAGATGGCTGTGTGCCTCTTACTGACAAGCACAAACTCCCAACAACTAGCTTTTGGTGCTGACCATAACAGGCTGATACTGCTTTAAATGAGGGCCATGTGCTTGAATGCTTAAGCCTCCATGGCATTTAATCAAACTGACCTTGTTCTGCAGCTTTCTGTGCTTCAAAATAGATGGAGGGAATCTCAATTCACTGGTGAGATACAGAATAAACAGAAATTATTAATCCTGTATGAAATTCTCTTCATAGTAGATGTATTGCTTTCTTTAACGTGTAGATGTGAATGAATGTGTAGGAGAGGATTGAGTTTGGCAGGAACAGGGTGAAATGCAGGTGGGGTGTGGGGGCATGTCCAGGATCACTGGGAATGCAGAATTGCTTCCCTGCACAGATAGCAGTACAGAAGAAATCACAAAGCTAAAAATAAGGGAGAAAAGAAAAACTATCTATCTATCTATCTATCTATCTATCTATCTATCTATCTATCTATCTATCTATCTATCTATCTCTGAGAGTAAGATTCACAGAACAACATGAGAAAAATGCACTCAGATCCCCAAAGCAAAAAAGTGGGGGCACAACTGTAAAAACACTTCAGCTGTGGCAGTTCAGAGTTACACATTCTTTTATTATTGCATAATTACTGACTGCTGAATGTTTGAAAATGCACTGACATCAAATAAACATCTTGTGATGTACTACTGGTCTAAGCAGGCCTTTATAAACCCTAATTGGAGATCAGCCATTAGCCAGTGAGCAGATAACCTGCCCTATTTGTACAGCCAGAGTGAGAACTGGTAAATAAATGACAAGGCAATAGGGAACGGACAACCTGGCCAAAGTGTGTGTGACCTTGTGTCTCACATGCTTCAGGGTGTGCTGGAGACTGAGGGACAATTGCCCCCTCTCCTTGAAAAGAGAGAGAGAGAGAGAGAGAGAGAGTGGATCCAGAACAGTGGAAGCCATTGTGGTTGGCATTTATCACATTTAAAATATTGAAAACACATAGATTAAAAATTGCATGTATCTGTAGCATTTATCTCCACTCACATTCCGTGTCATGTATCTTAAGGTGTAAACCCAATGTGGTAGGTGACTGCTGATACTGTTTTCCACTCCGTGTGGTGAGCACAAGTTCCTGCTTTATTGTAAGTGGAAATAAAGTGAAAAGAAATGTGGTGAAATGAGACAGAAGAAAAGTAAACAAGAACTGAATACATCTTAAACACTTCATGTTTATTGTACATTAAATAAAACAGTTCCAGTTAAGTTGAGAGACCCATGGGTCAGATTTAGGAAATCAAAACTTCTATAGGAAGATATGTTCAGCTTAAATGATCATTAATTACATATGCATTAGTTACATTATAGTGAAACCATATTCTGTTAAACAATTCTCAGGTGAATAAGATACATTATCAGAGGTATGTATTCCAAGGATCTTATTGCACATCTACAGGCTAATCATGTACTTCCAGTGTGAGGAAGATATGCTTTGTACCACTGAGTACAGACTGACTGCCTCCTTATGCTTGTCACACAGCTTCCCCTCTTTCCTCATTAAAAAACAGAACACGATATCAAACAGAAAATAAAGCTGAACATTACAAAACGTGTGTTGTCTTCAGTTCATTTCAACCTCAAAGCAATCCATGCGTATTCTTTCTTTTCAGTAAGAGCAGGTAGGGAAAACAAAAGGACAATTAGGGGGAAAAAAAAAAAGAAGTCGTAAGATCCCCCACTGCACGTGTTTTTCTGTCATTGCAAGAGCTAAAATGTTATTCTGCTACCAACTTCCAGTGCAGTGGGAGGAAGCACTGTGGACGGAGTCTCACTTCCCTTCGGTTTTGTCTGCCTGCACTTCACGCATATACGAGTCAATGATATGCGGAGGCACTCCATCCATTAATAGCTTGAAGAACGAAAGCCCACCTACAAACAAGGAAAGCAGGTAATATTCAGGCTGAAGGTCCCTGGAGCAACAGCTTTGCACCTTTATTCTCTGGCATAAGTGACAAGTTTTAGTCAGTCCCTATTACATACTTTGAGATGTGGTAAAATTCAGCCCTGCTCAAAAGTCCAGTATGACATCTGACCGTTATTTAATTGGTACTATACAGACCTTTCCTGTCCTCTTGTGCAGGGTGAATTTCATTGCTAGGGTATCATATATTTAGTCATTTATCTCACTACATGCAATAGTTCACGATAAGCTTCACTTCAAATAACTCTCCTGACTTTCCATCGCACTGGGTGGAGTATGGTCAGAGATGGAAGTCAGTGCAGGGGGAACAGAGTAGAAACACTGACCAGGATGAGTTGTGGAAAACATGCAGAGATATTCAATTTATTCTAGTTTTGGGTCTTAAAATGGTTTCTAGGTATTTAGCAAAATATTTACCACGTTGATTGAAAGTAACAAGTGGGATGACATACATGAAACAATAATAAAAAAAGCCAGGATTTCAGGTGCAGTCTCCAGAGAGAAAGGTGATGAAAGCTGAAATTTTAATCTGCTGGGGAAGTCGGAGGAATCATTTTGGAATTGCTTTTAAATTCACTTTAAATTCACTTTTAAATTCACTAAATTCAAAGGTTCACTTTTGAAGTGAATAACCCCCAGGTTGTTCAGCCTGGGGAAGGGAAGGTTCCAGGGAGACCTCAGAGCACCTTCCAGTACCTAAAGGGAACTTACAAGAGAGCTGGAGAAGCACTTTTTACAAAGGCCTGCTGTGATAGGACAAGGGGAGGTGGCTTCAAATTGGAAAAGGGTGGATGCAGATTAGATATAAAGATGACATTCTTTACTGTGAAGATGATGGGGCCCTGGCACACATCGCCCATAGAGGTTGTGGATGCCCCACATCACTGAAATAAAACCATAGAAACTAGTATTTCTGCTAGTTTCATTGAAATCAAATGATGTTTGGAAGAAACAGTGGGAAAAAGATAAATATTTTGCTAAAAACTTTAGAATCTGCCCTTTCTCCAGACAAAGGGTGTAAATTACTTTAAGAAATATACCATTACTATTCCTTTTACAAATCTGAATGAATATTGTGTTCTGCAAGTTGCAAACCACCCACTGACAGGTGCACTTACCTTCTGAGCTTTTCTGGAACACACCAAAAGCTTTAAAGCAAAAGTACATTGCCAGGGTGAAGAGAACACTCTCTGACTGCTTCAGCTAAATGCAATTGAGCTGATACTTATTACAACATTTATGCCAAGTACAGATTTTTTAAGAATTTACAACCTTTATTAACATAAGGATTATTCAATTAAAATGCTATTAGTTACTAGCAATTATGAGACTGTGCTGTCTCATTTAATGTCACCATTGTGGCAGAACAGTTTGCTCCCAACCTTAGGTAGATGCGCAATACAGACAAAAAAGAAAAAAAAAGCATGCTTTTTGGCATTCTTTCAGCTTTTTGGCATTCTTTCAGCTTTTTGGCATTCTTTCAGCTCATGGAGTGCAAGTTGTGCTATGAATCATTCATTTTTAAAAGAAGTTAACGCTGGAATAAATATTTTGTTTATGTAGAGGCATATTCCTACAAAAAATAACTTGCTGTAAATACATAATGCTCTTTTTATTACTTACATTTTATTCATGCTAGTTATTCATGCTAAGTCATGCACTGTTAAATTCCATTGGAACATGCACCATTAGAATATATGGGTTGTACCACTAAGAATTATTTGTAAGTAACGAGCAATTACTAAAATCTGAATTTATATGCCTTAAAAACACCATGCTGCTAACTTGTAAAGACATTTTCATTAAGTGACATAATGAAAATCATGCCATACTAGGCAGACATTGTATGACTTATAAACAGACATAAGCTTCATATGCAAGAACCATATGAAAGCTTACCTTAGATGACAATATACATTCAAAAATCCTTACTGTGTAACTAAGGAAGAGAGAGAAAGAGAAGTAACAATTTAATTGCAAACACAAAAGTGGAGAGAAAACGTTGAGTGAAATTATTATTACAATTATGTCAAGGTGATAATTTAATCCTTAGTCATGTAAAATATATGGGAATAGAAGCACATGAAGAGTAAAAGGTAGGGATCCAGTTCCACTTCAAAATTATCATTAATATGTAAAAGCTAGATTAATAGGTACAAGTAACTATAAAAACCTCTAATTAGTCTAAAGTATAGATTGGAACCAAACTATGTTTATGATAAAAGTTTCCAAATGTAGCTTCAAAGAAGCTAACATACATATTTATATATATATATATATATGCATATAGTATTTTCCACCAGGGGAAAAAAAAGGCACACACATAACACTGAAGCATATATATATATATGTTGAAACTCTGTAAGGCAAAATAATCAAGTACAGACTAATTATATATCTGTGCACTAAAGTATGTACCTTGTCATATATTCACATTTACATTACTAGAGCATGCTATTTACTCTGTAGGAGCCCTTATCTTTAATTAAACATTTTAATTAAATCTATTAAAAACCCATATATATACACTTATCTATATGTAATGTCTATAAAAGCATGAAACTTTCTGCCTACTGTAAACTTTTAAGAAAAACAGTCCAATAATTAAAAAGCTGCAGAAACAGTATTCAGTCTGATCTTGAAACGTATTTAGGACTGAAATTGTAAGTCTGGATGCATAATATATTGCAGACCAGTTTCTGGGCATCACTGTCATTTTAAAACTGCACTGTTAATATTCTGAATGGGGGCAAGGTTGCATGGAAAGAGACATTTCTATAGAAAGAGTCAAAATTTCTGAACTCCAATGAACTTGAATGTAAAATAAGCTCCAGAAGAAATGAAGTAAGCGAAGTAAAATTTTCTGCTTGTAAGTAATTAAATCAAGATTTCATCTTTAAAATCACTAGGTTAAGTTCAGGCATGGATTATCATTCTGAGCACTAATTTATTACCAAAGAATGATCTGTTGTAAAGTGATCTGTTAATGTTAATGATCTGTTAAGTGCAGCAAATGACTTCATGATACTTCTGGTCTTTCAATAATTCTACAAACTAACTGAGGGCTGTTTTTTTTTGAAATGCGTATTTCTTTCTTCTGGAAAGATCTAAGTGTTGTGGTCAAACATATTCATAGTCATTAAATAAATAAATTAAACAAATAAATGTATAGATAATTAAATCAATAAATTTATAGATACATGTACTTTTATGAAATATGTCTAAAACCTTAGTAATTATGATATTAAATACCCATATGGTTGGATATTGTCTTGATTAATTTGGCCTTCTTTGCTCATGTGACATAGACAATGTATGCCATGAGACTCTAGCTAGTTTAATCTAAAAAAGCAAAGAAATACACACTTTGCATGCAGAAAATGCGTTTGCATGTGGAAAGAGAGGGTGGGAATGAAATGGAATGTCCAGAGGAGTACGCGCATTATAAACCTGATTATCCCCCGCCAAGCTGAGTGGTTCTCCTGGATTAATTACTCCATGATAGATCACTGCAGAATTAGAATATTTATAGTGGTATTTATTCACATTTGAAATTCTTCCCAGTTGATCTTAACACCTTCTAAAAACAATATTTCTTATACAGCAACTTTGCTATCACCAATCTATTATTAGAGTGATCACCAACCTTTATTTCACTTCTAAGATAAAGGTTCTCCAAAGCTGTTTTTTTCAATGATAAAAGAAGCACAACACCTTATCTAATTCTTTTCATCGACCTCGGTGAAGCTGATAAGGAATCAGTTCTTTAGTGCTTGTAATTAGGGATCTCCTTCAACAAACTCAAAAGATATATACGGTATTTTTTGTAATGAGATTCTGCATATGTTGTTATCTTTCAGGATAGATGAGAGTCATCTATTACGTGACTTTTTACGCAAATACATTAAAAAAAGAAAAAAGACACTACAGGTGCAGTTGTACTGAGTGGGTCACGTAACTTTAAATTCACTCAGCAAATCTTAAAAGCAAAGAACAAGAGATTGTATGTCTGAAATAACACCAGTACATGAAAAACCTCTTATGAGGACAGAATAAGATTTTATTATTTTAATTGTGCTTATAAGTATCACTAAAATGTTTTTAGGAAACGAGCATTACATTTAACAACAGCTAGGGAGGTTAACTTTACACCTAAAATAGTGTAAGAAAATGGCAAAAAATGTAGAGTATTGTAGCATACTGATAGTATTCATAACCAGAATATTCCTAACTAGTCAGTTGTTCCAATATTATGCACACTCTGAAATCCTAGGCTGTTCAGATACTTTTGGGGCTGAGCATTTATATAGGCACAATAAATTTAACTTCTCAAATACGTCAGAGATAGATAGCTAAAAGTAATTCTAGCCAGCAGAAGGGAATATAGCTTGCTACAATAAATACTCTTGCAGGGCACAGAGCTCTCTAACACAACTTACTAGTAAGTCATACCTACTATCTGTAGTAATAGCACCGTAGCTCATATGTTCACCAGATAGGCAGCAGAGCCTTGAGCCTGTTAGTCTTATTCAGACAACTTTCAGCTCTATCTCATCATCTTACAAATCCAGACCTTGATAGTTACTTGCTGGAATAAAGCTGAACCAGTTTAAAGCTGTACATAGGAAAACACACACACACACACACACACACACTGCAATTCATTTCCAGTGAGTCAGAAATCTGCAGGTCTCTGCTCTGCATCAGCGTGGTGAGCAGTCATCTGGGGAACCCTCCTAAATGAACAAATAGGCTGGGAAACTTAAGAGGATGATAAATCAACATGTAAGTCAATAGGAGAGAGAAATAAGATGTAATGATGTCTTTGTATTCTGGCTGTTTAAGAGTAATTTGCTATATTTGCCTAGATCAAACCCTGAGCCTACCCTGGTTTGCTAAGCTTCAGCTGCTGTGTTCAGTTAGCAACATAACTTGGCTTTTCAGTATAAAAGAATAGACAAAGCAACCTTCTCAGGTGTTGAGGTCTTCTGTTATGCTGTGAAATAGAAAGTTTTCTTGTGATTAAGGAAAGCAATCTTCCAGGATAGGGACAATGACTTTTAAAGACAGTATCTTAAAAACAAAAAAGTAAAAACTAAGAAATACATTATGCATATTTTCATTACATTATTTAAGTGTTCAAATTAACATAGACCAAGCATTTATTGAAATGTCTTCTTGCTGGCAAATTTGAGCTGTGGGACAAGATACATCAGAAAATACAGAAAATGGAAACTGAAATGCAAAATAAACACATTGCAATCCATAAAAATTTTAAGTGTCTTCATTATAGATTAGCATGATGGAAGTAATGTAATTAAAGTCATACTGATGTCACCTAAATTCCCTCTGAATTCCTTAATTTGACACTTCCTATCAGATGGTTTTAGGCAGCTTCCCTTATAACCTCAGAAGAATTTTTTGAGAAACACTTAGTTTATTCCACAGTTGAAACTGAGCCTTTGGTGGGAATTAGTCCAGCTAATTATGACCTTATCTTTTCCTAGGAGGTAATTTTAAAATATGGTCCAAATATTATTCATTAGTTGTCCTATCCAAGTCCTGTTGCCATTCATGGTATCCCAGTTAATTCTAAACTACCTGAAATTCATAAAAATTATTCATTAATGGAAACAAAACAAAATAAATCAACTAATATTATTTTGTCCTATCAGAGCTATTGATTTAACCCAGGAAAGTTGGACTCCCTTTTGCATTTGCCCTGCATCCTTTCAGCTCTGCAGACAGTGCTCAGGCAGAGAGGGTGCTTGCAAAGTTTTAAAGCCCTTACCTCTTACTTCCAGTTTGCAGTCCACTTCTGCCTCTCCCAGTTCATTGACTGCTCGGCAGGTGTAAGTGCCTCCATCGTAGGGGCTGGGTTTGCGGATCTCCAAGGTACACACCCCTTGGTTGCTGAACATCCGGTACCTTGGGTCGTTCATTATGAGCACTTTGTTTTTCATCCAGGTTATTTTGGGCTGTGGTAAAAAAAGCAAACCAAGAAACAAACACAAACAACGACAAAAAAAGAAAGCCCAAATGCACAAACCTGTGAACTGAAATATTTTTTTCCCCTATTTTGTGGTGTTCAGTTACAGCTGAGTCAACTACAAATGATAAAAAAATAGATGAAGTAGTGATAGAAAGGAAACTGTAAATCTTAAAGACAAGCATTGGCTGCATCATACATCTGATTTTTAGCACTTTTTTTTCAGTGCAGCTCTAATTTAAGTCATAAGCACAAGCCCGTTACCAATACAAGGACTATGTAATAATAGCAAACATTTGATCATTAGCTTTTGACATCCAGTTCCTATAAGTCAATTAGAAAAACATATTTTTCCACAGTAATTTGCACAGTTGGAAACTGTGAAGGGTGAACAACATTCCAAATTTCTCATTTTACTTGGCCAGTTCAGTTTCTCACGCCAGAAAAAGAATCTCAAAAAGACACAATTCAGAAGAAATCACAAGACATATTGTGGGTCTGAGAAACAAGGTGGCACCCAGAGCATTCCTGCAATGTGCTTACTTTGAGAATAATTAGCTCTTTATAGAGTAGTTATGGCTTTATTTTAGTAACAACTTTTACTGGTATATTAACTGTACAGCTGTTGTCAGTGAGACTCCCAGCAAAGCCCGGCCTTTTCCTGAGGTTCTGCCCCTTCACCGAGTTAGCTGTGCATTAACTATCACCGTGCCTGTAGCACAGGTAAGCTGCTCCTTAATTTCTGCATTCTCTAGAACCCACACCTGTCTGTTTGCCTTCAGCCTGGCTCATCAGTTAAACGGTAAAAGAGGCATTTTACTTTTACTGTCAGGTTAAACTCTCCCGTGTTTTCGGCGCTGCTGTCAGAGCTGTGCTGTACCTTGGGGTTGCCCCGGACGCTGCAGTTCAGGGTGGCATTGTAACCAGCTACAGCAAACGTGTTCACCAGGGGCTGAGTGAACAGCGGCCGCTCGCTGAAGTCAAAGTCATCGTAAACTGGGTACTTGTAGACTTTACCTATGAAGTGAAAATTAAACATTTATCAAAAGAGCATTGGCTGGCAGCTAAACACCCAAGCACATGAAATGGCTGCAGAGTCAGTTCTGATCTGCACTGCTTCAGGTACTAACGTGACTCCAGTAACTGCACTTGTAGGGGAGGCTGAAGGTGGGTCTGCACAGTGATTATAGCCCTTGGTCATTGGTGTCTGAGAGCTTCTCTTTGTTTCCTGTGCAGGTGGTACACAAAGCAATGCATATAATTCCATGTCTGTGCCCTGCATGCTGCAGAGAAGGATGGATCCTGACCCTAGTACTGCAGGATGCCTGTCTTTGGCAAGCTTTCTTCACTCTGCTGCCAGCTATTTTTTATGTTTTTTTTCTGATTATAAACTCTCTATGTATCTGAAAATCCATTTAGCTTTCTGCTTCAAACAGTACACTGAAAATACAGATACCTGAACAGATGTAGTGTCTGAACAAGGAAAATGTGGTAGTAACATGTACATTCTCACTGCCAGTTTATCTCCACTCTGCAATGGAGATTACCACCAACAAATCCTCTTCAGCCACACACTCAGCTGGCATTTAAAGTGGCTGGACAGACAGACATTCCTATGCACAGGTATCATTATGCAGCTTTGCTTCACTGAAAGCTGATCCAAGCTCTCATACTGACTTCAGTGCAGCTTAGGCCTGATACTTGCTCTCATGTGAAGGGCAAGTGCTGAAAAAGAACTCCTAGAGCCATTCTCTTGCTCTTGGCTACAGTCTTTCAGCCTGGTTGTGTGGGTTGTAGAGGCTGTCTGTCCTCTGCATCATGGCAGTCATGTATTCCTTCCTTTCAGACAAACTGCTATGATTTTCTTCCTGTAAGCTGTTTGGTTTTAGAATTTCCTTTCCATAGGAAAGTTTTGTGGTTTTGAAGCTTACAGTGCCATTTCCAACTGACATCTTCTGAAATGTCAGGATTTTTGACTGCAGAATCAGAATTTTCCAACCCCACCCTCAGGAGATATGAAGCAGGGGTTGTGCTTTTCTATTGCATCCTGCCTGAAATGGAAGGAGTGCCTGCAGAGCGGATGCCAAGTCTCCAGTGGAGGGCAGTGACCCACTGCATCAAACAGAACAGCTGCTTTATTCATCTCCGGCTCTTGTCAACGCAAATGTGCCAGTGGTGATGTGAGCCTGAGATCCAAAACCATAGAAGATGTCAGAACATGGGAGAAATGTCCCACTCCTGACTAAAAGCAGTGACTGTGAGCTATGTGGGCAAACCAAGGAGTCTGAATAGGAAATGCCCTGGATGTTGTACCTGGCCTTGGGGCTGGGAGTGCCTCGGGACGCTTTAGAGATACGGCCCTTAGCTCTAGTCACATTCCAGCCTCTGAGCACCCCCTTCCCCCTGACGAGGCATGGAAAATTAACTAACCATCCTTTGCAATCAAAGCACTCTCTTTGGTCATGGTTGCATCCTCGCTGAGGCCGCACATGTTCTCAGCAAAGACCCTGAAGTAGTACTCGTTGCCTATGACCAGCTCGTTGATGGTGGCACTGGTGCGGTGATAGTGCTCGATCACGGTGAACCACTCCTGAAAGGCACAGACACACAGGGTGAGCCCCCCAGCACCCACTGGAAGAATCATCAAGCTTCTGGGAGTAGGTTCTTTGAAGAGAATACAGCTAACAACAATCAATAATGAAATGACTTGTAGCAGCAGCACTGCAGAGCTCACTGCTGGGCAGTGAAGGCCGAATGGAAAGTGAACCCTACTGAAATGTTACGCTGGCAGCTGGAAGGGTTCATTTTAGGAACTGCAGTATCACAAAGGTTGTGTTGTGTGGGCAAGGCAGGCTCCCTCATTCCTTATCCACACTGCTGGCAGAGGAAGTACAGCTGCAGATAACAAAACTGCATTCCTGTGGGGAAGGCAATAGCATGTGCTGTTCTGCAGTGATATGCACTCACAAGAGGGCACCAATCTGCCCTCTCTCACAGGCTGAGTGTTTGTGAGAAATGCAGCTCTCTGCTGTGGTCCTCTGATGTCTAAAGGCCAAGATGGGCAAGTGGCTTTTAGTGCTTTAGTCTTGCAGCAGTAACAGGATGTGTGAATTCTGTCCTATTACACAATACCTAAACAACAGTCTGAGATGAAAGAGGTTAACACTAAAAATGCAACTAATTTAAAGTGCAATATGAACACAGCAATGTATTTTGTTTTCCTTTACTCTGCCCTAAATAGTTTTCTTGCTTTTCTAAAGATGAACTTGTGCTGAGTTCCCTGTACCACAGTTTGCATTAATATTTGGTCAACTTTAGGAGACAAAATTCCTTTGGGAAAACAGTTTTTTGTATAAAAAACAGCTGTGCCAGAATTGCAAAATGCACCACCACTGTGAGGAAAGTGACTTGAATGATTCTAGTGAATCTAGGGTTCACACTGAGCCCTAGATGCTGCTTGCTGTTGTCACTTTCTCCTTACCACAGTAATTTAGAGGGGACATTGTTCTGGTCACTGTAGCAGAGACCATGTCTTCCTACAGTCTCAAGAGAGGGAGAAAGAAAAAAAAAAAGGATGGGAAGGAAAATAGTGGCATAGGAAGAATTAATTGATCAGACCATGAAGGAGATCAACATATTAATGTGGGGGATAGGAGGGGACAGCAAAAGTTTTTCCTGGAGAAAACAACTCCCAAAATATTGCCCTAGATTACCAGTGTTTAAATTTGCAGTAAATGTTAAATGGGAATCTGGTTTCTGTCTTTTAAGAAAGTGTAAAATTTTTGTTAGTTTAATGAAAATAATAAATATTTCTGCATTGCACTTTCCATCTGTAAATCTCAGAGAGGTTCCAGAATTACCTATGTACTGTTTTGCTGTGGGTAGTAAGGAGTGGCAGTGACTTACACAGTGTGACATTGCAGGCTTGAAAACAGCAGCAATGGTACACTTTTGTTCTGGTAGAAGCCTACTGAATTCAGAATTAATGTTTTAAGGTTTTATTTTCTCTCCTGAGGCAAAGGAAAAATGCAGAATTATTTATCTCAAATCCACCTATCCTTTCCTTTTTTAGTCCTCCTCTTTGGAACAATTTGAAAATATTTCCATTTCTAGGCTTTAGTTATAGTGAAGAGATTTTTAGAGCTTTTAGAGAGTCCTTTAGAGATTTTTTTGAATGCTGATAAATCAGTGCTTTGTCCACCTACACTATTTTAAGCATGTAATGCTTTTTGTTTTTGAAAGGGAGAATTCATGAGTACACCCAGCTTTTAAGTATCTCTTTATTACTTACCATACTCTTCTTATCTGCTTTTTGAATAGTGTACCCAGTAATGGCAGCATTGCCATCATCTTTTGGTGGCTTCCATGATAAATTTACATTCTCTCCCCAGACATCCTCAATAGTTACAACCTCTGGTGGGCCTGGGCGATCTGTAACGAAAATATGACATATTCTACAGTTTGCCTTCTCTGTCTTTTTCCCACACACATCTTCCAATTAGTTTGATTTCTCTCTCTTTCTTACAAAAAAAAACCAAACATAAAAGTCAAAAGAAAGATATAGTTGCAAAATAAAACTTTCCAAAGTGAAGGCATGTCAGAATTACAATAAATTTAATAGTTAAAGTTGTGCTGCCGGTTTTGTAAAGGAATTTGTTTCCTTAATTATGTAAAGGAATAAATTGTAAAAAGTAAATTTATTTTGTTGCCTGTCTTTCCTACCGTCATATATTTTCAGCAATTAGGATTTCTTCCACACTGCATTTGTGACAAACTTACTATGGATTTGCTACTATTTCTGTCTATGGGTACCACTCCAAAGGAAAAATCTTGCATCCTGGGTAGACCATAACATGAGGTGCTTAACAGAGAAAAACAGAGACTGACATTCCAACAATGCTACGGTGTCCAGAGGTTTCCTGAGGGAAATCTACAGCCATGTGATTGGGCATGAAGAGATACCACTGCCAAGAAAGATGTTAGGATTCCCATTTTCCTGTGGCCTTGGAGCAGTGGGATTTATTTCCCTTTCTCCAGACATACCAACGATCTGAATATCTATTGTAGCTTTGTCCACCAGGTTCTCCACCTCCACTTTCATGTCGTACTCCCCGGAGTGCCCCCGTTCTGCCTTTCGGATGAAGATGATGGTGTCGTTCTCCGTGTTGCGGATGTTGATGTCGTTCTTGTCGATCGGAGAACCGTTTTTCTCCCACGATACTTTTGCTCTTGGTTTTCCCTGCAAGGAGCCAGGAAACAAGTTTTGTATGATTTTTTTGGAGAGAAAAGGGAAGAGAAGGAAAGAGGCTTATTTCCCGTTTTTCCCAAAAAGGAAATAAAAACTGTACTGAAAGAAACAGAATTATTTTTAAAATTATACACCATTTAGACATGCAATCATAACAATTTACCTAAAATAGAATTTTCTTTCCTTTCCTTTTTTTTTTTTTTTTTGCCCTGGAGACTGAAAATATTTGCAATTTCTGGCTATATTGGACAATTGTCTTTCTGGCTAAACCTGACAAATAATTTCCAGTTTTCTGAAAGGGAGAAAAAATAACCCAGAGAAAATATAGATCAAAATATTTCGCTCTCTGGAAATGCTTACATTTTCTACACTGCCAGTGAGAGAGGAAAAGTAATAGATTCAGCCTCCAGGGATCCTAAACTCTCTTCTTTCATTGCAAAAGAAGTTGTAATAGCTGTTAGGAAGGCTGCATTGATCTCTTTTGTGTGTCATGTTTTGTGTCTAAGTGCCCAATATAGGTACTTAAAATATAGTGAATTTCACCTGCTTTGCAGTGGGATTTGCCATCCCCATGCAAACAGTTTGCAGATACTGTCTGAAAAGGGTAATCTCACACCATTTTGAACACCCTATCTTAGAGAATAACCATACAATATTTTATGAAATATTGAATTAATGAATTTCTCAAGAGAAATATATCTTGCAGTGTATTGCTGATCAAGCTTTTATGAGGCTTTTAACAGCCTCTGTGGAGCTGAGTTATGCCCACCCAGTATCATAAAATGTGCAGACATGAAATAGGAATGAATTCTGACATAATTCTTTTATTCAGAATTAGGACCCCACAAGGAGAGAGGCAGGTGCTGTTTAAAAGGTATGGGAATGAAGGTTAACACGATACGGTGGGAAAACATGCTACGTATTTTAGAAATAGTCATATTACAGCTGTGATCTCAAGGATTTAACATTGCAGTCTGCCCACTCTTCCCCTCACTTTTCCCCTCTCATGACAAGGAAGTTATTAAATACTACTGTTTTGCTCTTACTAACTACATTTATCTGCTTCCAGTGCAATCCCTTTGCATTGTGCTACAATTATCTCACATGCAATGTCTACTGTGAGGTTTTCTAAGCGTCCTTTGGATGACAGATGACCGATCAGTCCATCTGAGCAAATTACCCAATTCATTACTTGGCAGAACATCATTTGTTTGAGACGTCAAACAGAAAACTTTCAAGCACTTCTGTACTTCAGAGTGCTTCCACGTGTGCTTAGTTAGCTCACTGGCCAAAGTTACAGAGAAATGAGTTAAAAAGCATCAGTATCAAAAAAAAAGTCAGAAAGAATTTTTCTGTCAGTGTTTTTAGTTCTTACCTGGAAAGGAATAACAAGATTCACAGTTTCTCCAACTCTTCGAGTATAAGTTTGTTTTAAGTGTCTTGGTAGACGAATCTTTGGAGGTTCTGAATAAAACAAAACCTTGTGTTAAGCACTTATCTTCCTTTCTAACCAAGGCAGCACTGGTGTGCATCAGTATAAAAAGGATACAGTGTGGTCTAAAATTCCCAGAAGTAACTAATGAGTGAGGTGTCTTAAATTTCTTGGTCCCCCAGCGTTGCATTCAGGACACCATTAGCTTTTGTAACACCAAATGCTGCAATGGTAGGACTAGGTGGAAAGTTTAGAGCAACTTAAAAAAAGCACCATCAAGTTCAAGTTCTGTGGAAAAAAAAGCCCTGAAAAATTGAGAAATAGTCTCAGAAATTAAACATTTAAAACTTATAAAAAATTGTGAATTTTTTTAAAGATGGTTTCATGATTTCTAGCCACCACACGATGGCTTTGTAGGGCCGTACCTCCAATTACCAATAACAAATTAAGTATTAGCTTTAAAAAAACCCCAGGTATTAGTATGGAAACAGAGTGTATTTGTGGGTGAGCGTAGGCAGCAGGATCTTACCTATCACTTCCTTGACTAGAATAGGCTGTGGGTGGTACTTGGGCTCACTTTCACCAGCAGCATTCACAGCTTTTACTCTCACAAGGATTTTCGAGCCAGTTGGAAGGCCATTGATGGTAAACTTTGTTTTGTCTGTCAGCTCTGGGTTAGCCACGATCCATTCATCGGCTGGTTTAGGGAAGTGAGGGAAGGAGGACAAATCCAAAGAATAGGAAATTATAAATACATCCACAGCAAAGATGAGGAAAATTACAGAACAGTAATAGATTTGTAAGATTTTAATAAATAATTCTATTTTGTTTTTCTAATTATGTTGGAATGCAATATAGATTCACTTTCATATGTAGGAAGAATGCTTACAACCCTGAAGGGTTTCTGCTGATTACGTATTTTTATATTTATATATTTATATAGCTTTATATAATTATACAAATATTATTAGAATATGTCTATAATTTAGATGTACCAGAGGAAAAAAATGGTTAGGTTTTTTAATTCAGCTAGAATAAAAGAAGGGGGACAAAGAATATATTTCTGAAAGCACTCATCATTGCTTTAACAGCTTCCTTGGAGAGAAATGGGTTTTGCAATTAATTTCAACCAGTGATGAGTTCCCTTAAAAGTATAACTGAGAAATAAGAGAAACACAGAATATTTACACATTGCAATGAAATGCCATCTCTCCTCATGCCTTTAAAAAAAAGGAAGGCTGTGTCAGAATTATTCACCTAATTACACCATTCTCGGATTTTAATCCTACCCCCAGGCGGTCGCACAAAACTCATAGAGTGATCATAAGAGTACAGTCTTTCAGAATAACTTCAGATAAAAACCACCCTTTCTTATCCACCCTGTCCTCCCAGCATAGACTGCTCTAACACTGCTGGCAGCTGGGCACTGGAGCCAGATTTATGAATTATGAACTAGCAAGTCAGGATCTTCCCACATCATGGAAAGCTAGCACTATAAAATGGGCACAGAAGACAAGAGAATGGTAATGAACTGGAGAGCCCTGCGGACCTAGAGCATAGTGCTGTGGTACATTTTCATAACTGAGAGTCTTGCTTTTAGGAATTAAGTTTTCCTTCAAGCTTCTAGCAGAAAAGGATTTCTATCAGTAACTGTTTCCCAAGTATCTTCCCCTCCCCTTACACCTGTATTACAGAAAATTCTGTAGACTGTTGCCACTAAAATTTGCTATCAGGAATTTATCTTTACTTTTATGGAAAGAGTTTTTCTTTCATTAAAGAAGACTTATATCCTTTGTGGAATACTGTACCTTCCAGGTTAAAAGGTGGCTCCCCCAATTCCTCAGACAGATCTGTCGATAAACCTTGAGAGAATCCATCTTTAAAATTAATCAGAGACACCCACTTTCACACAGATGGAGCATTTTGTCAGTGGTTAGCAATTCCTGTTAGTAAGTATGCAAAGATAGATGCTGGGCTTTATAGATTTAGAGAACCCATATTTAGGGAGACTGCAGGGAGAAAAGAGATGGAAAGAGGGCATCTAGATCACAGAACAGTTTTATGGGATGCCCACAGGAAAGCTAAAGGATGAAAGAAGAGGATATAAAGTCATATGAGTTTTTTGGGCCCCAGAATAGCCCTAGAAATATGAAAAGAAAGAGACAAAAGGAACATTTGGAAGAGAGAAATGAAACGAAATGATGATGAGAGAAAGTGTAGAAGGAGAAGAAAACACATCATAGAAGAGATAAAAAATTCAGAGATACATTCTGAGTAAGAGAGACAGAAAAAAAGAAGTCTTGGAAAAAAAACTTGGAGATAACAGAGGAAGAGAACACATTTAGCTGAAGGTAACATAGATAGAAGATTAAAGAAGACCAGACCCATGGATGATGACAGATATGATGTAAACCCTAAGGCTTTATTTCCTGGACAAATTTATGACTGCCTTGGATTTCCTGTAATCCTGGAGCTGGCTATTTTTGGGATTATAAAAATGCTGTTCTAGTATCTTTGCATGGTCCTGGATGAGTACACTGGCAAAGATCTCATCCAACAGAGACTCTCTGAAGTACTTATTTACTGGCTATAAAAACAGATCATCTGCAGGTAGCAGCCTGTTACAAGCAGATAAACATATTGTCATGGGGAACACTCAGGCTGTGCTCCCCAGGCTGCCCTAAAAATGCCCCACAAGAACTGGTCAGCAGCACACTTCACTAGGGACTCCAGTGTCAACAGGATTTGGTCTACTCCACATCTCCACAGCAAGAGGGCCAAGGCTGGGTATTGTAAACTAGGTCTGGGGAATTCTCTGTCTCTCTCCCTGTATATATGTATTCTATATTCATGTTATTATATTATTATTCATGTTACACCTATGCAATGCTGGATCAGCATACTCATGATGAGACTGCAGTTCAGTAACATGCATGGAGTGGCACATAGTTAAGGACTGCAAGAATCCACCACGTTGTTCAAGTTATGTGGTTCTGACTAAAGGGAAGTACCATTTTTGCAAAGCCAAACCAATGTTTATGATACATTGCTCTTCTAAGTTATCCTTATATATATTTTTTGTCCTCCCACTGTCAGCTTGTGATTTCTCCTAATGATTGCTATATTGAGGAAGATTCTAAAAAGCCTTCTTGAAAACTACTTCAGTGACAGCAATGAAAGAATGGAGAGTGTAAATACAGAGGAGTTTACAAACAGATAACTAAGAGAAAAAAGCGGCAGAATGAATATAGACAGTCATAAAAAGTATCTTGAAATTAAAAAGTTATTAAACATTACAGAAAAAATTAGTTTGAGGCATAACAGGCACTGAAAGGGCTGAGAAAAAAGAGGCACTAAGATATTGCAAAAAGGAAAAAAACAACAGAACAGAGAAAAAAAGATGAATAATCCAACAACATGACTTTTAAAACTGGTATTTTAAAATTGGCATTTTAAAATTGGCATTTTCTACTTATCTTGCCTCTTCCTAAGCATTTTCGTAACATATATACATAATGTCAATTGTGTATATATAGATGTATATGCATATATAGGAGGCATATATAGATATACATAAACACTCAAAACTATGTAAAATACATTGTACCCATTGTATTTTAACTGAGGTGGGTAACAGTAAAATGACAGACTTGGCTGCCATTTTGTTGTATCTTCATATGTTTAAAACCTATCTGGAAAAAAAAAATAGTAAAGAATTTGTTCCATTTAACAGGTATACAGTGTTCTTCTGTCTAACAGCCCTTTAAAGACAGATTTGGAAGATTCCTTTTTAAAGCCATACTTTGAATTAACCTGTCTGTATTTCTCATTCTCTATCATCACCTATTTTGGATATCGCATATTGTAATGTCAAGCACTTTTAGCTTTTCCCTGCCATTCTACCCAAGGTTAAACAGAGCATAATATACAGCATACACTGAAGTCCTCACATTGGCAGGCCCTTTAATATTCCCCTACACCTGGCCTGTGCATTGAAGCAAAATAAGAACACTGTGTCTTGATGGAAGACTGCATGCTTACTCATTCTGAGCTGTTCCCGCAGCTCCCTCCCAATAGACAAGGAAAACCCTTCCTACCATTCCAGCTGTGTCTGCCTTCAGGTACTCTTCTCCAGGTCTCTGAGCTTCTTGCAGTCCTGCTCCTTAAAGATATTCATCTCAATACTACAAGATGCTGAGTGCTCCTGAGAAAAGCCAGTGGTTCTTCCTCACACCCTCTCCCACTGGCCTGAGAGAGCTGAGTGTACCCTGATGCCGTGGCACCTCACCACATTTATGACCTACTGTTTCCCTGGATTGTCTGAATATGAAATGTGACAGCATGAATGACAGGTCCTGTCCTCTACCTTTTGTCTCTGGGCTATGGACTGCATTTCATTGGAATAAATGCCTTTACAGGAGAAAGGTGTTCAACCCATCACTTGATTTACAGCACAGTTAAGAGCAACAGCAGTGGAGCTGAAGATAACTGTGTTCCCTTCATCCACATCCACAACATTGCTGCAGCTGATGTTGTTGGTCTACAGAGGCTGGGTATTGCACATACCACTCCAGGCTGTTTGATACTTACCCAGATGCTGGTGCATTTTACTTTTTGAAAATATGCTTCATTTGATACCATTTCCAAAGAGAATCTGCTGGAAAAACTGTTTCTGCTGCTTGATCACCAAAGACTCTTAGTTGTAAAATATAATTTATATTTCCCTGTTCCTTCTTATTTTACTCTCAAAACTTCTTCCTCCTGTTCTTATATATTTTTGTCTTAGATAGACATAGTTAAAGATCCCCAAAACTACACTGAAATGTTGGAGAAATTAAATATCCAGACATGGGCTTTGCATGCCTAGATGACTTCTACAGGAACTATTGGAGAGGTTGTTCTCAGTGTTGGCTGCCAGCACTCGAACTAGCAGGTTTGTAATATATCAACATAGGGATTGCCCCACTGAGTACCTCCTGTCCCTAAAACCCATCCAACCTGAACATATTTTGAGCCACACTTGTAGCCATTCATTATTTCCTACACCTTTATCCACCAATGAACTTTACTGCTCTGACTCATTCAGCATCTGAAAGAGGATAGTTACTAGCACAGTGCTTGGTACACTACAACAGATTATATGGATTTTGATTTGTGTTTCAAATCACGTGTAAGATATGTTGAACCACACTCAGTGGGTGGCATCTGGAATACAAACCAAAGGAAGCTTGAACAAAACCCTGCTCCTTGGGGTTTTCTGCCTGATTAGTCTCTGCCTGACAGCCAGAACACCTGATACCTGTAGAGAAAAAATGGAGAAAGTCTCACCCACTTTCACTGTGAGTCAGCTACCCCAGGCATTCTCACTTACTTCCTTCAAAGCAGTATTCCACCACGTAGCCATCCAGCCCTGCTGCCCCAATCTGGTCTGGTGGCCTCCACTTCATTGTCACCGACGTGTCGGTCACGCTGTCCACTGCCAGCAGAGTTGGGGGGCTGGTGACAGCTGAAGCAAGCAGGGAGAAGGCAGAACACTGTGTTACAACTGAAGGTTTATGGTCTGTGTTCCTCTAGTTTAGTACCACTGGTGACAGGCTATCCTGCCTACCAGGATGACTTTCCATCATCCCTGGCACGTCTTTCCCTTTTAGGACCACACTAGGAGAAAGCAGCTACCTCATCCCATATCTGCTCACAGCCTGAGCCAGAGATAAATTCCTGCTGCTGAGAAGGACAAGCAGCTGTGGCTGGTGGAGCAGAGAAGCTGGGAGCAGTGTATTCTACCTCAGCAGGTATGTTCTGGTAAGAAGGGAGCATGCTGGAGCTGTAACAGCTCCCTCCTTCCTCCTCCTCTGCATTCTGGGGGTACTGCTGAGCAAGGGGGGAACCTTTGCTGATCTGAAGAACAAGACACCTCTCTTTTACAGGGACAACCTTTTGGTTGTCAAAGTAGTTTGAAAATCTGTTTCTTTATATGAAAAGGCCACTGAGTTAGCCTGTCACTATGTGGATGGCAAAGCCTTCTAGCTGTCACACTAATATAAAATTTATACAATTAGATGATTATAACAACATATTAATGGTTATTTTCTAAATGCATACATATCTCTGTGCTCTTGGTTACTTACCTAAAGGAACAAAGGACTTGGAAGGCATACTTGGCTTGGACATGCCAATGGCATTGACAGCAAACACACGAACCTCATAAGCAACACCTTCAATCATTTTCTTTGGCTCAAAAGTTGTTTCCTTACACAGTTCAAAATTCAGCCTCATCCACCTGGAGCTCTGTTTCTTTTTCCTCTCAATGAAGTATCCTTTTGACCAGAAAAGATTTTATTATGGTAAGTGATAGGATAAAGATCAGTAATAAAGGGTCTATTTTTTGACTGCCCAATGACATTTTTTTATCATGGATACGCTTCAATGTCCCCTTCTATCTTCAGAGTGATTTAGGGATAATTTTCCCTATTGCAAGCTATCTGGTAGTCATCTGTTTTGTTTTCACAGCTTTTTTTTGGACTTAGAAGACTGCTGTGCTTAGTTCAGAGTGAAAAGGGTCTGGTTCTACTGACCTCTGGGCCCCTCTAACTTTCATCTTGGTTCAGTGTATTAAAACAGCTTCCTCAGTAAATTGTTTATGAAATCCCTTTTAACATTCAAACAGGCTGGTAAAAGTTCAAAGTTCTGTTTTATAAGAGGTTGTCTTTCAAGCAGGGGGATTGATACTGTGATAACATGCAGAGTAGCAAATCTCAAAGCATTAGAAAAACAAGTATCAGGTGAAGTCAAAGAGTAGGTAGAACATTCTAGCTACTGGATATTCCCAGTGCCACTTTGCAGGGCCAAAACTCTGATCCTGTTGCATCCACTATTTGGCATTTGCTTCTTTTGTCTATATTAGAGAGTCACCACCAAAAAAACAAAAAACAAAACAAAACAAACAAAAAAAAAAAACAACAAAAAAAAAAGAAAAGAAAATTATGTACCTAAAATGGGTGATCCACCATCATTTGCTGGAGGTTCCCACGTCATAATACACCAATCTTCACCCACCTCAGTCACATTTGGTGCCTGAGGAGGATCAGGGACATCTGTTGTAAACAAAGTAAATATTTTTTTTTAAAAATATTTCTTCTTTTTACATAGGTTGAAATTAAAAATGTCAAATAAAAAACAAATCTAAATAGTTTTTGAGGTGCAACAGGAATTCCTAATGAGGAGAGAGAGAGAAAAATAAAGTTAGTGGATCCTGGAGGTGGTTAGGAATGGATGAATGCCAAGTTCCTCTGCAGGGTCGAGACACTTGAGAGGCTCTGGAGGGCATGTGCTAAGACAGAGCCCACAGCCACAGGGAGAGTGGAGAACCAGGAGTGATAAGGGCAGCCTCAGGCAACCAGAGAAGTCTGGCCCCTGGCAGCAGTGATAATTAACTCCTACTTAAACCCCATCCAAGCTCCCACTCCCTTCAGTAACACCCAGCCTTAGTGCCCTTGCACTAAGGGATCTCCATCCCACGCCTGGCAATGGGGACAAATAGGAAAAGAGGAGTTTCCTGGGACTCTGCCACAGTGATAAAAGACATGGCTCATGAGCACTGTTCCACACAACTTACCAACCACTTTAATGTTGATTAGAGCTGTGTCCTCTCCAGCCTCATTCTTTAAAGTGATTCTGAAAGCACCCGAATCGTCCCTCTCAGCTGCATCAATGACCAGGCAGCTGCTGTCTGGGTATGTTTCTGCCCGTATTCTCCCACTATCTGTGACCATCTAGGAACCACAGTGAGCAGAGGGAAAAGTTACACTTTCTGTATTTGAGAATCAAAATACTCAAAAATCAAAATCCAAAAGTAGTAGAGGTCACTTCAATGAAAACGTTAAAGAAACTGTTAGAAAAATCCCACCAAATCTCAGCATTTTAGTCACCTACTGATGAGAAAAATGACAAAATAACTAAAATAAATTAAATATGGTAACAGTTTACTACTCAGTTGAGCCATTGCATCACAAAGGATGAGGCACAAGGCTTCTCCTGTGAGCAAGAACACATTTTTGTCAATACCACATGTCATTAATTTGATGGAAAAACAATAGGTGATTCTTCCAAGAGTCAGATCAAAAGTAGGTCATTCACTTTAAAGGTCAGAATGACTGTAATTGTCAGTAGTTTCTCCTCACAGATTTCAAATGCTGTCACATATTTTGGAGAAGGAGCTCTCCTGGGATAATTCCCTGCTTGAACAGGACAACAGTAGTAGTAGTGGTGACACTACAATTAATATTTTAAAAATAGTGATCACACATTTGACTAGATAGGTCTGATGGATGCAGCACTAGTAACATGTCCCAGCTTCCACATATCACAATGAAAATTTAAATGTGAAAAGTGACTCTTTTGGTATTTACATAGCCAGGGATTGATCTAAGCAAAAGTTTTTCATTAAGACGCCAGCTGTAAGACCCCAATTGCCCAGCCTATTTTTTCATTTGAGACTTGAACTCCATTAAAATTTACCATTCATTTTCCAAAACCAGACTATATCATGGCTTCCTGCCAAAACCTGGCAGCCATTCTGCTCATCACATATATAGAAGAAGTAGCCATTTGGTAAATTTTCATGACTTTTCTTCTGCATCCCATATGTCCTTCTCCTCTACTATTTTTTATAGTAAACCTATATTTTTTTTTTCTTATTAATTTCCTTAAAAAGACCCAAGAGATACTAAATAATATTTATCTGTTTTTCTCTTCTTTTTTGTGCAAAGAGCATTTTTAAACACAGGGCATCTCCCCCTTATTTTCTGCCATTACAATCAACGTCTTCAAAAGGCTAAAGATTATTTTTGGAAGGAAAAGCCTCCTTGTTACACTGAAGAAACATCTACAATGACAATGTACCTTGTCCCCTCTACTCCAAAACACTTTTGGAGTTGGTTCACCAGTGATAGGGATCTCAAGTCGTAGTTTGTTTCCTGCCACTACTGTCACAGTGTTGTTTTCCCCAAGACCATCCAGGTGAAGTTTAGGAGGATCTGAAAAAGGAGAGAGATTGTCCAAGTTTGACATATAGCTGCTGCTCTGAGGGTTCAGTAACCTGGCACACGTCTGCAACACACAGAAACATGCTCTGTGTTTCATTTTCTCGGTATTTTTAAGCAACTGAATTTTGTTTTGAAGAAAACTTGTGAAGAAAAATCTATTTAAGAAAAGAGTTGCTTGATGAAAAAGAAATCATGGCACCATAGACATTTTGGAATAAAAAGACTATATGAAAAACCCCACAGCTGTTTCTCTGAGGCAGAATTATGTATATTCAGGTAACTTCTAAGAGTGTTTTCCGCTAAGTGGCTCTAGAGAATTTCAGTTGTGGGCCCTAGTACCACTTCCCTTTTCATTTTTCCTAAATCTCACCAATACTTTTTCTAATATAGATACCCCACATGTCTCCGGTTCAATTAAAAAACATGTTTTCTAAAACGTTGGTCATTTCTATTGCTCTGCTTTCCACTTCCAGGTGGCTGGTTGCAGTTGGAAGCTGGTGAGGTATTGCTTTGGGAAGAGGCAATGCTCTGTTTTATTTTTGTTTGAAGGACTGGGATCACTAAAAAGCCTTCTGCTTTGCTGAATGAATCAAAGCTGGGCAAAACAATTTCCCCATCTAGATAGCATTTAATGTTTTTTAGTGGATAGGTAAATATGTGCTTATTCTACTACTCTTATCAAACTAAATAATATTTTGCAATGTTAGGAAGCCTGTTCTTAAAGATAGCAGTGTATATCTGAGAAGTGGATAGAAACAGCAGGTGTTTTACACCAACTCTTCACAGTGGTTTAGGTTTAAGAACTCAGCCTCAAGAAGCCTCCCCCAGCTCACAAAGTATGAGCAGGTCCCGAGCACAGGCAGAGGACTGTCCCAGCAGCTCAACTGCACTTTTCCAAAGCTTCAGGTCTGTGTTCTTGGGCAGATTCTGGCTCAGAGGGTGCAAAGTGGTTGTAACCAGGGGTATTTCAGGCTGCTTTTAATTCCCAAAGGTCACAGAAAGATGTTCAGTACAGGTCATTGTGTGGTATACTTACCTACAATATGAACTTTGCATGGAATATTAATGTTGTAGGCATCTGGCACAAACATGTATTCACCCTCATCATCAACAGCAGAAACTGGTATAACAAATCTGTGGATTCTGTGAAAGAATTGAAAAAGAAATTAATGTAAATTATTTTTGGAGACTGCCTGGAGATATAAGGAAAAATTTGTGAAAATTTTGTATGTAACATTAGTGACTAAAATATCCTTTGCTGGTTGCCTAGTGGTATTTTAGGCAATTAAAGACTGTGTGCTTTGTACAAAATATTATTGAGACCACCGGATAATGTGACCAATTTTAATATTGGTTGTTTGAACATAGAACAAGAAAAATACAGGAGTGTAATCTCTTTTACACAGAGAATCTATGATGCTGCCATTCAATTGAAATTTGGTTGCTCAAGAAACAACCTGTAGGTGATCCCACTGTGGGAATATTCTGACTTTTGTTGCACCATCTTTGTGAGCTGATACAAACAGGAGCTATGAGAAAAAGAGGCATAGAAAGGAGAAAAAGAACTGTACATTTTTAATAGTGTTTAGCAATAATTTTATTTTTCTGCTTAATATCCCACACCAACAACAACAGCAATGGCAAGAAAAATCAGTAGCTTGAACTTAGGTGGACTGAGGATTTGATTATTGTCCTTCACAGCCAAAATACACAAGATTAAAGGAAGTAAGGAGTCATGGCTTTTAAAATGACAGAAACAAAAATGTCTTGAGGGACAGAGGTTATGTTTGATTAGCAGATAATTTTTAGTGAAGTAGCCCACACACTGGCACATCTCCACAGTGTCATTCCACCTAAAGCCAAGTCAATACACAACAGGCTTACCTTCCTTTGTGGTAAAGCTTTACACGGTCACTAGCTTCAATCAGCTGCCCATTTTTGTACCATTTCCCTTCCACATTCTCAGATATCTCACACTTCAAGTGGATTTCCTGTCCCAGCCTCACAGTCTGGTCTTCTAGTGCAAGTGATATCTTCAGTGGTCTCACTTAGGAACACAGAAACAGATACATTAAAGAAAGACGATGGAGCTCAGTAGCCATGGGGGATAATTTCCCACTTGATAATAAAACAGCATGAATTGGCCAGGGTGACAATTTGTACAAAATAGCCAAGACCAGCGTGACTATTACAAATAAAAATGTACATTTATGCATAATACAAGATAACTTCAGAGGATAGATCAGATACATTTTGTTTAAAAACCCAAGCACTTTCAAGAGATACTGCACACACAAAGCTGAGAGGGCTACACAGTCATGTGCTTGTGCCTAGGTTTGGCTTTCCTGTGAAAACCTGAAAGGACTGAAGAAAAGCAGATACTTCCCTTGAAAATTCACTTTGTTGACCTATTGTACCTTTGGATGAATCTCTTTGTTTTCCATCTTTATGGAGTGACAGGAAGTTAATAAGCAGAACTAGTTCATGGCCTGCTACTGGAAATATTGTCTAAAGGGAAGTCACTGTTCTGGAGATTCACAGCAAAAAAATTGGTAGGGAAGTTAAGTTTCCTTTCCAACCCCCAGGGAAAGGCAAGAAATTTGTTCATTTGTGCTGTATGCCAGCACACTGTGACATATGAACTTGAGAGCGAGGTGGATGATACTCACGGTCAACAGCAAGCTTGGCTTCTGATTGCCCTCCAGTTGTCATTACTGAGTAAGTTGCAGTGTCATTTTTGGCAGCTTCCTCTATGATCAAAGTGTGTTTTTTACCCTCAACCTTAATTCGATACCGAGATTTAGGATCGTTGGTAAGTTCTACGCCATTTCTAAACCTAATGGAAAACAAAGAATTTTTATTTTTTCCAAAGGAAGTCCTGTGCAAGTAAGACTTCCATAGACTGAAACTCCCAGAGAAGGATTTACAAGACTATAAGGCACTAGAAAAACTCATCCATGACTGTATTAGGATATTTTTGGTGTTACTACTTTATTGAATAAAGTTTAATTAAGATTTTCTTAACAATTTTCAGGTTTACTGGAGTGGGAAAAGCTGCCTGCATTTTTGCCCACAATTAAAATCTTCTGGATTTTATTTTCATGGGAGCAGTTCAAAGCGTGTCATACCATTTCACGTTTGCATCATCCTCAGACACTTCACAGCTCAGTTCTACTCGTTCACCAACATAGGTGCTGGTATCCTCCAGGCCTTTGGTCACCAAAATCGGGGGATCTTTGGAAAGAAAGAATTACAGATTGACAATCTGAGAGGGAAAAACAAGTGAAAGAGGTTTTCTAAATCATGCTGTAGAAGGGAATATTACTTTCGTATTCTAATATGAGTATCAGGGCAGCCTTTTCTGCCCTAAATCTGAAAATTTGTTGCTCTTTAGAATGCTAGTAGGAAATTTGCTCAATAAAAGTAACATTTCTTCATATTGATACCTGTTTTGCTTTGATAATCAACACCGTGGGAGAAAAGAGAGTGAAGATGTGGCCTCCCATTCATAACTGTTGATAGAGGTTTCCCTCAAATCAGTGCAAATGGAATGAAAACTGGCTTCTAGAAAGTCTGATCTGAGGGCACTTGGACAATATCAGAGTTCTCAGGTACCAAGTATTGTGTTGGGGAAGCCAGTGCTATGACACACAGGTCTCCAAAGTGGCTTAAAATTTTGAAGGGCACCACAGCCTCACTAGATCCCAAAGCACAGTATCAAGTCAACTATACCCCCACTTCAGGGTTTTCACTAAGCTGCTAAATGCAGGATGAGGGAAAAAAAAATGGCCAGGGATCACAGAAATACCAAGTAATCCTAACAGCTGCTAATACAAATTCAAATATATACCAAACCAGATCCTCCCTGTTCATCTTTGTTTTAGCCAAAGAAGCCACATAAATTTAGGGCAGGTGAAACAGCATCAAGCTGACACAGTTACCTCTCACAAACAGTTCTGTGGAGCATTTCTCATCACCAGCTGTTACGTAATAGCGAGCATCGTCTGTCATCGTACAGTTATTGATGAATAAAATTCGCTGGTTTCCTTTGTGCTCAAAAATGTATCTGGACAAGAATGCAGCAAAGACACATTAGCACAACTTCTGGACCCCTTTTGTTTTATGTAGAAAGTGTTGTAGGGATTGTTAGAGGCAAAAAACTCCGGGGTTTACACAGTACTGGGAAAATCGTCATTGGAAGCAATTTCCAAGTTTCAACAGAGCTGTCATAGACTTCTAACAAAAAAAGAGCTGTGGTGTAGATTGACAATGAGTTGCTTCTGCCTTGTTCCAAGATCCCAGGTCTGGGTGATATGAAAAGAATAAATTAAAAAAAGAAAAAGAAGCTGGAGTCGAATGATGACAAGTAAAATGGAGTCTGAAACTCTAGATGAGTAAAGCTGAAAATAACCAGTAAGAGGACACCATCACTCATTCCAACATTTTTGTGAGGTGTAATAATAGCCAAAGTTAAGAAGTTGATATTATTGGTTGGCCAGATGGCACAAGATATCAGTAATGGGATATGGGGTTTTGGTAATGGGATATGGAGCCTTTCACCTTTGTGTCACCAGTTTAGATCTGCTCCAGGTTTGTAATGACCAAAGCTCGTTAGCATCTGACAGCTGCTCCAGCAGCCTGGTAGAAATGCACTGGAGCCCTCAATCCAGCCTCTCCTGCTAGAGAGGAATCCATAGAGCTGCCTGCAATGCCAGATATAGAGGCTAAAGAAAAGGTACTCTATTATCCATTTTTTTGTCAATCATGAATTTTAACCAAAATCCTTTATCGATTTGAACAGAATGAAGGAAATCTGCCTCATTTCTGCAAGAGGCCTTTTGTTAATCACTGATTTTTTAAACTGGTCAGAAGAAAAATTTTCTAGGATTTTGTGCTGCTGAGAAACATTTGAGGTAACATTTTTAAGCACATCTTCCCCAGGTGTGTCTGACTGTGGAATGGGGTCTTCTGCACTGGGGTACAAGAGCTGGTTGTGCCCACAAGAAGGACTGGGCGTTGCTCTACACGTGCTCAAATGTCTGCACCCGTGCTTCTTTTAGGAAAAGCCCGAGAATAAACCAATATGCAGGTACACTAGACATGTTGTTCATGACTGGTGGTGAGGCTGTTGACTTCAGAGTGTTAACAGAGTAGTGGAAGATGGGAAAAACCCTTTTCTCGGTTGGTTTATGAGCCAGGTGGGCAAGTGTATAATGTCAACATCTCTGCTCTTAGCACACAATTACTATAGAAAGATACAGACACAGGACCAAGGACAAGTGGTTTATATACTGGCAGTGCTTCCTGATTTTTGAAAAACTACTGAGTAGGTCATTGTGCTACTTTTTTTGAGAATCTCTAAGACTTTTGTCTTGAGACAAAGGAGACAACCTATATTCCATTTAGCCTACAGTGGACTTTTCTGGGTCGTGAGCATACACTCCACATCTAATGAAATTCAGAAATAAAATTGGTGCATCTTGAGCAAAGAGAGAAATCCATGCAGCACACTTGTCAAGGGAGTACATGTGTGTCAATTTTATTGCTTATATAAGATCACTTACTTTGCACTTGGTCGTATTTCTTGGCCATTTTTATACCACTTGAGTTCCACTGTTGGATCTGCCAGCTCCACCATGAACCTTACTTTACCTCCTTTGTCCACCTGGTATGCAGGATCAAGGCCTTTGGCAAAAGCTGTTGTGGAAGTCAAGTGTCAGTTTAACACGAGATCAGAAAACAAGAATATGGATTCTGAAATGACATTGCATAAATCTCATCAAAGCTGTCAGAATATTTACACACAAAGTTATGCGTATTCTCACACTGGTCTACATGGAATAATCTAGAAACATTAGAAGCACAGAGCTGTACAGATCTGGTTTTCCTGACCAACTTCTAGCTGGTATCTCTTCAAGGCTTTGCAGCACAAATAGGACTGGGTAGGTGCATCAAATGAAACACATAAATAAAAATTAATGTGTAATACCATAACATATGTTACAAAGGGAGGTAATGGATGAGGAGAGAGGGTGTACCAGGCAGCTGGACTGCAACTGGATTTGAGGAGGACTTCACCTACATAGAAGGGATGCTTCCAGGAAACCAGTGGCACAGCAAATGCATATACTGCATTCTGTTCTGAAATGCTGTCCAGAAACAAGCAGATGTCACAAGAGTGTTATGGGCAGTGTGCTGTATTTATATGTATGTGCAAACATATTCTGTGGCATAGACATGTATTTTAAGGCCTGAATGTCCTCACCCAGTGCAGGGTGGAGGGTCTGTAGTACAGTTGGGATTTCTGTGCAATGGAGATTAAGTGCAAAACAAGATTATGAAGAGCAAACACTGCATGTGTTTGGAACGACCTCTGTTTAGAGCAGAAGATACTGATGGTAAGACAAGGTCTAATTTCTGAATTGTTTGATTAGGTAACACTTTTCCACACACCTGGGGGACATTGTTCCAGATGGAACCAGCGTTTGTCTGAAGGGGGAGGGGATGCTTTAGGTAAGCACTGAGTTGGATGAGGTGTTTACACTTCCACCATGGACCAAAGCTGCCTTCTGAATAACTCCTTGCTGGAATGAGCTGTGGTGTGAAAGTTCCCTTGTGTGGAAGTGAGGCACGTTTGGGTTTTCAAGGTGAACCGTTGTGTGTGACTAAGAAGCTCAGGAATATTCTAGCACAGCCATACCTGCACTCTTCTTCACCTCCCTGCGCATGCGCTTCAGCCGCTTCAACATCCCCCTCAGGTCGGTGATGCCGTACTGGAAAGCAATCTTCTCGTACTCGCTGGGATTTGCGTTCTTCAGGAGATCCCACACGTCCACCTCAGGCTCTTCCTCTTGCTGTTTAACCTCCCTGATGTTAGCAAAACAAAATTATGGGAGAAGAGTTTGTGAGGCTTTATCACACCATGAAAGATAGGCGAAGCTGAATCACGGTGAGGCTAGAAATGCTTTGACCAAAATTTGAAGGCTGCCATCATATTTTTTTTATTTCACTCAGTATGAGTGGAGTAGCTCAGAATGATATTCACATCTTGCTTTACTCTTCTTCAAGGCAGAATTTGAATGCAAGTTTCAATTTGTCCTTTTCTGATACAATCAATTGTGAGAATTTTTATGTTTAAAAAAATACAGTTTGAAAATGTAATAGTATAAAGTCTAATCTCACTTAAATCAGTTTTATCTGCTATAACTTGAGTGGAATCAATCACAATTTATGATGGTGCCACTGAATCTCATTTGTACATTTCAAAATTAAATAAAAATATTTTCAAGCCCTGAGTCCCTGTAACTGCTACTGGGGGTGGCTGACATTGGGCATTGGAATACAGGGGAACCTGTGTCTGTTTATAGTTATACCAGTGCTTCTCAGCATTACTTAAAGTTGTCAAATGAATAGGAACTGGAGATTTCCACACCAGCTTAGACTTGAAGGATGGATCTGTTCGCTTCCATGTGTATCTCAGTCTTAAGAGCAGGAAATGTTTTCAGAGGCCTGTGTGAGGAATCACCTTTACAAAGAAGTTTCAATACTGTATTTATTATCTGTAACTCCAGGCTAAGACAACCAATAAAGAGAAGTATAATTATTTTCACAATGGCAGGCATTAAATGATAGAACAATGGAAGCATACTAAAAGAAATTATAATTTTTCAGATTGACAATTTAGCTCAAAAAAGTGAACTGCTAGAACAATATTGGAATTGAAGAAAAAATCTAAATTTCTCTTCCTGTAAATTATTTGGATCAGACCAGGATCGTTCCAATTTGATCTAGCTTGTCTAACAAAATCAGTACTTTTGAGAAATAAAAAAAAAATACCAAGCTTTGCAGCGAGGCACTGTTTAGAACTGAGCTTTATGGATTCTAAAAGAGGATTTTCTTTGACATGTACAGAAATAGCACTGAAGATCCCTGAAAATCTCTGCATGGTTGAACGAGGAAGCACAGAAACCACATTGCTGTTCAGTCCAGGATGTTTATTAAATTTTCAAAATGTGTCTGTTAATTTAAAAAGTAAGACAGGTTCTCCCTGAGTAGTCTTTCAAATACAATAATTCTGAGACAGCAGTGTAAGTTAGACAACCTCAGGTATGCAATTTTATATTTCATTTATTTATCTGTGCTCATGCCTTCCAGAGGGTGACTGCACAGTGAACGCTGCCACTTCTGTGAGATTCCTTCTGCATGGAGGCAGGTCGAGATCAGACCTTCCAGTTAGAAACATGAAAAAGACCTGTAAAAGCTGAGACCCACCCCCATGGGGCAGCTCTGTCCTTTTCCAGGACTGGCTGCTCACCAGTGTCTACCCATGCCAGAGATGGGCACTCTGTGGGAATCAAAACAGAGCTGCCCTTAAAACCAGGCAGCAGCCGGGAATGAGGATCCTGATTTTCAACCAGACTGAAAGACTCGATTCCAGGCTCATTTTCCTCTTGCATAACTGGAGAACAAATTTTGATGCTTAGAGCAAGCTAATTTTGGTCTGAGACCTCAGTAGTTTGAGCTGAGGCCAGAGGCCAAACAGAGCATAGTATTTCCTAAGCAGACTGACCTTGCCATGAAATCACTTTTATATCTCTTTGTGCAATTTTGTTAAAGATGTACTTAAAAAAAAAAAAAAAAAGAAAGCAAGCCATCAAGGACCTAAATATTTGAGTGGTTTTTAGATCTTGTGCCTCTTGGAATTTCATGCTGCTACTGATCCCCTGCACTGACAAAGCATATTCAGTCATGGTGTGGCTTACTGAGATAAGACTTGATATGTCTGCCTGCCAACCAGCAGAAAATTAGAAAATAGACAGTATATTGATTCTATGCATTTAGGTTTGTTTTGTTTGTTTTTTTTTTAAAAAAACCATGTTTCAAGTAGTATGAGCCAAAAAGGAAAAGTTCTAGGTCTTTCCTTGGTCATACAACCAAAAAATAAAAGAAAAAGAATGCACCTCCAACATTGCCTGTCATAAAAATTGAAATGAAACCATGGATTTGTCTTCATAATAATGGATGTTAATATCCACACACATGGATATTAATATCCACACTGTGGCTTAATTAACAATCTTATTAAATTAAGCTCAGAAATATGAGGTTGCATTTCAGGGCCTGAAGCATGGTGAACCAATTTGACCAAAGTCAAATAATGGTGTCTAAGAACTAAATATTTGCTTTATCCATTAAACACACAATAGGTATACCATGTTTATAAGGCTGTAGAGTATTTGTCTTACAAATCTTAAGAGTTAATTGTTAGTAAAGTGGTAATGTCTCTTAAATCACATTTATCTTTCCACAAAACCACCAAGAACTATCACATGCAATTCTCATGTTACTCCTGAAACACCACACAGGCAGTCATGAGAACTGGCAGGGCCAGTTTTATTAGTAGGGTGAAAGAACAAACTGAAGGTCCTAATTAGGGATGAGAAGATTGAAAAACCAAAGACCTGGTGGATGAGAACTGGTCCAAGTAATTCTTTGCCTACTTTCAGCTTCAGCTTTTCCTGTGTCCTTTAGTTGCTTAAACACTACCCTCACCCTCATAGCTGATGAGCCCATTGTGACCTTTTAATGTAATTAACACTGCTGATTTTCCTCTTTCAGAGTAAGTGGTAGATTAGATAAAGGATGTAATTCCTTTTCCAGTTCTCTGTGATCAGCTGCCATTGATTTCCATGGCATACAGAATTTCTCTTCTTGATTTTAAAAAATGATATATTGTTTTCATCTGGTGAAAGACTAAACTGGGTTTAAGATCTCAGATAACTAGAGACATAACTATCAGAACACCAGATTTTCAAGGCAAGTCAGAGAAACATGTGCCCCAGTTTTTCTCCATCAAAACATTTGAGTTAAATAAAACATTACTGAGCATTTGTGTGTACATATTAAAAAAAAAGCTACAAAGAATTATACCAATATCTATGACTTGAAAACATGATACATGATTTTTTCATATAAGGATGCTTATAAAATCAAGTGAAGATGTACCCACAGAGATAAATTTAACCCTTTCAGGTTTTTTGCAGTTGCACCAGACTCAATTTTCTGTACTGCTCATCCCTGTGTAGGAAATTTGCCCCCCATCTGCCTTCCATGCAAGCACAAAATAAATAGCAAATGAACTAAACATTATTGGCCTCTTTAGTCTGAGGTTCATTTTTTTCCCCAGCGCACTCAAATCTGAGGTTTCTTTTCTGCACACTTAGAGGTAAAATTCACTGAACATTTGCGTATTATACTACAAGAATAGTAACAGTTAGAAACATAAAAAAGTTGAAAGGTCACAAAATTCTTAAGGAGTTATTAATGCTACACCTGACTGTTTCTGTGTGCCAACCTAGAGGTTTGCAATCCACACCTGCTCACTGCATCACTTGGTTCTCACCTACGTTTCAGGAGACCACTAAAGTCAAGTTCTCCTGCATCCTCTTGTCCTTCACCGCTGTTATTAACAGAAAAAGATCAAATCTTTGTTTAATACAGGAAGACTTAGACAACACACATTGCAAACGCTCCACAGTTCTCATACACTCAACATTGTCCAGACACACAAACAATTGTATAAAATCAACACAAACTTGTATGCTTTTTCACACGGATTGTGTTTCTGTAGGCACTTGTGAAAAATAACACAAAGGTTTGTATTGCTGCTTCTTATACTTTGATGGCAAATTTTTGTAACTGAGTACATAAATTTGCCGAGGTTTGTGTTAGATTTCAGTAACACAAACAAATGGGAGCTAGACAACACAACCAGCTTTGTTTTTCATTTCCGTAGTGGACAAAACAAAGGGCTTGTGCTGATCTCTTTCTGTGAATACAAAACAAGGATTTGCATTGCTGGGTGATGCTTTTAACAATGCATAGCTCTGTCAAATACTGATTGAAAAGTACTTAACCTTAAAGATTTAACCTCTCTCTAAATGAAAGAAGAAAACAGTTATAAAAAAGAATAAAACAGTACATGGTCCTTTTTTACAGATAGAATCACAGTTCTATGAAGGTGCATTTCTTTCTATGATGTGATCTTTAGAAGAATTACCTTATCATAGAGCACATATAGACAAAAGAAATGCCCTAAATATTTTTAAAAAGGGTATCTTAACTGCAGTGAAGCCAATGTTTAATCAAGATTTTACATGTAAGATATTACTTAAAAAAACAGAAAATACTGAGATATCTTAATCTGCTTGGGCTGACCAATTATTTTTTTTATTTAATTTCTTATTTATTTTTTTTATTTAATTTTATTTTATTATTGGGCTGACTATTATTTTTAAAAATGTGCTGAAGAAGGAAATGCACCTTGAATGTAGTATCTTTTGTATTTATCATTAAATTAAAGCTCTCTAAATAAAAGCAGCTATTTCTCAATTAAAACTTTACTTGTAATTTTTAAAACTGCATTCATTATCTGTTTGCAAAATATTTTCATTCTATATATTTTTTATATATTTCATCACAAAAAGATGACACCTATATTGGTTAGAATTGCTACTTTATCAGAAAGGTAACAAACCTTAAGACACAATGCATTATCTTACATTCTGTACTATACTATTTGTTGCTTTCCCTTACTGATGGTATTTACTGTTTACTGTAAGGTAACAAAGCCAGATCCTGTCTTCTTGAAATCAGTGTGAATTTTCTCTCTACTTTTAATCAGTGCAGGATTGGGACCAGGAACTTTCATATCATGGCTGACAGCTTTCAGGAAACATGCAGTAGAATATTTTAATGAATGAAAATATATTTTTAAAAGCCTCCAAAGAGACATATATTTAATTGACTTACATATTCAATCTTCCTTTAAATTAATGACACTTGTAACTTCACAGAAGGGGTATTTAATATTGTATGTACTATCTATGTGTTGTAACTATCTCATTCTATCTGCCAGAAATTACTCTAAATCCCACTTCTTTAATCTATATTTACAAAAACAGTTTTATAAAGTACTTGGTACAATTGTCTGACACAAGTTCTATGCATGCTACCAGTATCCATTACCGAGGAGCTTGATAGGATCACTGAAGTTACCTTCTTTTGAAAGCAGATCTGATGTCAATGGATGGAGCAGCTTGGGAAGATTCTATGAAATAATGGTAATACGGGAATTAAAAACATAATTGTAATGATTTATGTAATCAGTGTGATTTGGAACATGAAATTTGTTCAGTTTCCTGGTAAGTGATCCCCTTAGGCATTAGGTTCTGGTTTCTGCAAAGATGCTCAGTGCTAAGCATACCATTTCTCTGAAGTACTTTCTGTAGTTCTGAGAATGAAATCTGTTTCTCTGATGTTTCTCTCTATTCCCCTCCCAGCTTTATTTACAGGCTCTGGGCTTTTTGTCTTCGCACTTCCTATGCTTTCTTCCCTGCTGGCATCTCTCAGCATCAGAGGAAGGAGACAGAGACAGTCTCCTCCACAGCTACAGACTCACACTGATTTTTGGGGCAAGGTGGGATCCCCCTTGTGTGAATTACTCCTTTGGGACAGCCTGAATCAGATTAAAAGGTTCTGATCCACAGCCAGTGAATGGATGGAGCCAGGCTGACCCCCGCCTTGCTGACCTCTAAGAACACACACAAAGCCCTGGGTTTTGTGTGCCAGAGCCCGATTTAAGTTCAATACTGGTTTTACCTGCCAGCTTTTCTAATTCTTGGATATACATCTCGCATGGAATCTATTCCAGTGTTCATTTAGACAATAAGTACATTCACAAGAAAATTCTCTGAGCTCTATGCTAAAATGTTCACTTCCAGCTTCATCTCATTTAAAGGGTCTGAACAAAATGAAGTATCATTTCAAATTAAAAAAAAAAAAAAAAAAAAAAGAGAGAAAGAAATCCTTATAAATATTTACAGATACAAATGGAACCTTACCAGTGACTTCAAGGTCAAAAGAGCAGCTATCAAATTTGTCCTTATAAGATACTTCACAGCGATAGTTCCCTGCATAGTTTTCCTTAGCTTTGATGATCTGCATCTCAAATGTGTGAATCTAAAAATCAAGCACAGTTGTTTGTTAATGTGGGGGATGCATTTGCACAAAGCAGGAGTTAAAACATGAGTCTTTCAGACATGCACTAGAAACAAAGAATAACTCAAATAATGAGCTCTGAAAAGAAACTGGAACTCAGAAATGGCATCAGAAAATTTTGATTTTCCCACCATTATTTGTCCTGGGCTGAGAGAGCAGAAAATCTGCTTCTGTAAAGGGTCAGAGATCATCCCTGCAATATGTGTGGGTAAGTCAGGGTTAGACTCCACTGCTCTTGGACTTCTACCTGTTGTCTTAAACTGATCTCTAAGCTCTCTTTGGAGCTTTGCCCCCATAAGAAGGAAAAGTAAAAACACACCTTAGTGTGGCGCTCAAAGGATTCCTTCAGCTGCAGGTGCTTTCCCGCTTTACTGGCCAGATCCATCCATTTCCCTTTAAACCACTTAACGTTTGGCTTTCGGAGAAGATCTTTGGCTTCTACTTTGGCTATAAATGTAATGTTCCCACCTGTCAGAAAGAGAAGAGAATGATGCAGCTGTTGAAGAACATGTGGTCAGTCAGTTGCATCTCTACAGGTTTATTTCACTTACACTCTATTCAGCCTCCCTGGGCTCTACCACAACCTTAAGAGTCAGAAGGAGTCACACAGACTATGAAATACTGCAGTGGTGCAGAGGTTAATGATTTTGGGTCTGGAAGCCTTCTGCTGCTATCCTGAATAAGACCTTCTTGATGTTTCAATAACAGTACAGCCACCAGTATCACAATAACCAGCTTTCTTCTCCATAAACTATACATCTTACCATTATGCTCAGTAAATTATTAGATTTTGAGCTTGTCTTGAGTTAAACAATTGGGTTTTGAGTCTCTCCATACATCCCTTTTGCCTTCAGAGGGGAGTTCATGTCCAGCTAAAACCAGAGGCAGTATTTGCAGCCGAGGGCAGAACCTGAATGCTACAGAATGTGCACACACCATTCCCAGCTCAGCCTCTGCCTCTGGGAGTGGCTTTCGGTTTCATTTGTAGGCACTCACCAACACTCACTGTCCCACTCTGTGGTTTCTCGACGAATAAAGTGGATCTTTGGGAGTCATCGCGTTTTTCTGACTCTTCTGGAGCTCCTTCTCCAAGAGACCATACTGAGATGCAGAGAGAGGGGGAAACATCAGTCATCTGAGGGTGTTTTACTCCCTCCAAAGTACACTTACCTGAACTTCCTAAACTCTCTAGCCCTAGCACCTTTCTCTTCAGATGTCCTGTAAGCTTTTGTTCACACTGACATCCACTGCTTGGCTGTCACATTGTGTACAGCTCCTGCAAGAGCTCTACCTCTGTGGTGACAGAAAATGGAACTATCAGGGAGGAGGAGAGGGTATCCTGATCAGCCAGGATGGGCACTGAGCAACTCGAATGGCACCAGCATTCAACCATGAGTGCTTTACAGAGGCGATGCACAAAGGTCAGCTCTTTGTTTTTCAGAAGAGATGGAGGTTCTGAAAACACAAACAGCCAGAAGCACAAAAATCCCCACATTTGATTCACTCTGTCAGTAGATCTCTCTCAACCCAAACTAAGTCCATTGTACAAGCTGGTTCCTCCTCCATGTCTGCAAAGTAGGGTAGGGATGAAGTGCAGTTCTGAGCTTTCTTCTCTGCCATGACAGAAGCAGAGAATTTGGGGATTGTTCAATAGAATTTGACCTATTCGAATAGAATAGAATTTGGGGATCCTGCCATGTGAATTTTATGTGATATTTTATGGAAAAAAGTAGTTTGTCAGATGGAAAAGATTGTGCCATATGCTCAGACACAGCAGCTTCTCTTCTGGAAGCTGGGACTTTGGAACTGAAAAGGAACAGCAGTACTGAGAGAAGCAGCAAATGAGTGGTGTCCTCAGGGCAGAGCACTGTACCAGGATAGCTGTGTGTTTCTGGTCTTCCTGTTTATCTGGACAGCTCTGGCTTTGTGCTATGCCTTTACATCTTGGGTAGATCCATGGTCAAAACACATTCCTAGCAGAAAGTGCAAGGAGAGCAAGGCAGTGAATGCCTGTCTGTTTTCAGCTCACTTTCTGCAGAGAGGCAAAGCACGTGTCTCGTATTCCAACCTGCAGTCCAAAATGCCACCTCTCTGTTTTTTGAGGAGTTATTGCCAGTACATAAGGGAAACTAATTAAAGTTGGAGGTCAGAATAGTCTTTCTGATATGTAGTGATTACTGCTGTGGGAATCTTTTCAACTCATGAAAATTTCTACCACCTACAAATGCAACACAGCTCATGGCAACCATGGGAAAATGCAAACAAATTGGTTTTATTATCCTAAAGCCTATTATGAATTTTAAAAAGGTATCAAAATGCTAGATAGCTTTGCTATAAAATTTTTTTTTTCAGTCAATTGTGGATAGTGTGCCTAGCATCTCTGTATCTGCCTGCTTGTACAAAATTTCTCACAGGTAAAGACATTAATGTTTATACTCACATGTATGTACACATATATAGACACATACATGGAATGATTTACACAGACATAAATGAATGTAAATATATATAGATACATATCTATATATACTCTCTATAATCTAAATAATCTAAACATTTAGATTATACCACAACATGAGAACAAGTGAAGGTTATTGGTGGGAAGAGGATGAAGTGATGATAGTGCAGGATCTGGTCACGTGCAGTAACAAACCTAACATGCCACGGGATGATATGGAAAAAGGATATTAATAAATGGGAAAAAGCTTACACAGAGTCATTAATTTGGTACCACATAAAAGATCACCTAAGTATTATCATGGCCTTTAGATATTAACATTTTCCTATTTATTAAACAAACAGAAGGGAAGGTGGGTTTGACGCAGGCTGGCATAGGCTGCTATGCCAGGTCTATAACCATGGTTGAAGTACCAGCTGCTCATTTTGTTCCAGAGGCTGCAAATCCTGAAACCACGAGAGTGGGTGCAATGTGCATTACCTGCCAGGGTAGGAAGAAAGAGGTTATGATGGTTTTGCTAAGTTTTCCCCACCGTCCTTTGAGGTGTGAGAAGAAGCCATTCTCCTACAGTCTTCTGGGACCTGTGTGTGGGATTTGGGTGAGGCTGAATGTAGGAGTGGAATTCCTGTAGGCTGAGGAGGAATGGAACAGCTATGTATCTATCTATACAGAAACAGATATAGATAGATAGGTATGTATGTATGTGCCAAGTGCTGCTATACATGTCCTGCTCTGTGCAGCACAGCCCTCTCTCACTCCTGGTCTAGCTGCTAGAAACCTATTTGCTCCGGTACTTTGAAGCATTTCAACAGCTATAGTTTGCTACTGTCTAAACAATGAAAATAAAGTATTATCTTTTACAAATAAAATCTAAACAGTATTTTTATTATTTAATTTTGGGAGTGTTTCATCATGTTTCTCAGGAGGTCTCACCTGAATCTTTTCTTTCTGCTGGCTTAGACATCCCATCTGAAAGGGAAGAGCAATTTTGATGACACCAGCTGAGAGACCACAGCTTAACTGACCTCAGATCACTGGGATTTTAAGAATATTGATTCTTCATACAAAAAGATTAGACTAAATATTTGGGACCATATCCATGAGGAACTACTTGAATACCAGAAAAAAGCAAACAGCTAAGAAAAAACCCCAGAAATATTCACAACTTTTCTCTGGAAAGTCTAAATTAACTCAGTTCAAGACTTTCTTTGGAAAGGTTACATGAGGCTGATGTTTTTTCCATGATTTGTGTAGTTCCAGGTAATGGATTAATTTCTGTTTCTCAATATTTGTCTGAGGGACAATATTTTGATTATTTAAAGAGTATACCTATTTACCTGGAGTTGCTTTTGGATCTACTGACCAACATTTTACCTTCCACTGGGAGATCCACTAAAGACCTCAAGACAGGATTGGACAGGGACTTAGGTCATATAAGGGTCTTGTACTTTGAACAGAGATTAATAAAATATAGGGCACTATAAAATTTTTTCTAAGTCGTTTGTTTTGCGTTCAGTCTGCTGGCCTGGACTCTTTCCTCATTCATAGTCAAGAGAAAAATGCATACATACATACATACGCACTCAAAGCACTATCACAATCCTAACCTGCTGGTGGAGTACTAACTGAGGTGTCATCTTCATCTGTGAAAAGAAATACAAATGAAAAAGCACATGAAGAAACTGAAAGCACAGGCGGTCATCTGCTTTAAAACAACTACATGAAAATGTAAAACCTGCAAAAGAAAGGGAAAAAATAAATTGCAATACTCAGGAGCATTCACAATGGAAGCTTCAAACTGATGAGGAAAGCTTTGCATAATTCAGTAGCTGAAATGGTAAACCTTAATGTTTCAAGCAAGTAAAAAACAAAATGAGATGTGGACTGTGATCTATGATTAAATCATGAGTTTATATGAGAGCTGCGGAGTGATTCTGTTTGTTAGAGATGTAATCCACAGTAATTACAATAAGAAAGCCACAATGAAATGAAGGAGAATCACATATCTAACCTGAGGAAGATGTCATTTCTCTGATGGCCACGTCTGCAATTAAAATGTGCACCACATATGCATTCAACATTATTAAATCAAGATATGAAAAAGTTAAAACTAGTCCCCTCTATTTATACTTTGTAATTTCTATACTATAATATTAATTTAAAGTGCAAGGAATACACAACTCAGTTTTTCCTCATATCAACAGGAGAATAATTTTAAACAAGGAAAGGACCATTATCACCATGCTGGATTTTCCTTTTGATCACACTAAAAGTTGACTGTCATGAAATACAAAATCACTACAAGTAATTGTTGCCCAGGTATTTTAGAATGTTTAATCATATAGAATACGTTGAGGCGTATATCTATATGAATCAAAACCCTAAAAAAACCATAAAACTCACATTAAATGGAAATAATGTAATCATGATTATTAGAAAACCAGAATAAGATAAAGACCATCTTTACAAGAGTCTCTTTGAATTTTAGATGTTGACTAGAAACCTCAGAGATCAGCTTTGATAAAAATAAGCAAAAAGTCTTGGTGTCTTAAAAGCCTAATGGTGAAAGAAAGAAAATAACCAAGGTATCATTTGAAAGACAAAAAAAACTTAGATATCTTTAGGATTTAATACATAAGAAATATGAAGATAACATGTTTATATACAGTATCAGAAAATAATCTGTAGAACATTTCAAAATGGAGAACAAAGTTAAACAAGAACAGCTTTGGGAAGATATTAACCCACATCTTTAAAGATACTTTTTTGGGGGGTTGGATTTTTTTATATCTTGTACTTCTGTTTCCAAAATCAAATTTTAAATCAGAACTTATCCTTTGATTTTGACCTTAAAGTTATCATTTATCTATCTTTTTTTCAAGGAAAAATGTAATAACTATGACATACGCACACATGAAATATAGTTGCATTTTCATAAACTGGCAATATTGAATTTTTGGGTTTGTTTAACCACTGAAGGTTAATTAAGAATCTGTTAATAGAATTTTTCTACTTCACCATAACGTTTTACTCATTCCTTTTTAATGATTCATCAACTTCATTTTAAAGATCCCTTGGGAGGAAGATGAGAATTGTAAAAGGTATGCCTACACATGAAGGATTAATGTGTTATCTTCCAAATATCTTTTCTTATTCATAGAGGGAAAAAAAAAAATAAAGAAAATGGAAGCATCCTCATGACCTGCATCATCCAATGCCAGAAGCAGATGTTGAAAATGTTGATTTTCAGTAAAAGCACGGTAATGATTAAGTCATGTCAGATGTTTTAACATACTGCATTAGCAACTAAATGGCTGCACGACTATGTGCTTCCACTGCAAATATTTCTCCATATTTCATGAAAGCATTGAGTGTACTTTCAGCTCTTTTTGTCAATGATGTCACCATTGTGATTGATGATGGCTCAAAGAGCCATTTGGCTGAAAAAAATAATTAAGACTAGCATAAAACATTTGATGTGATGCATCCTACACGGTGATGTATGATAAGCAAGTTATGAAAGGACCACTCAGATTTCTCTTTCATTTAATCATTTGAAAAACTAAAAAACCCAAAAAGAAGTTATTAGTTTTGCAGAGGGATCACTGGGGTTTCTGAAGGGTAATCTATCATTTTTCAAGCAAAATGTTAACATCAAAGACAAACAAATGAAACAAACAAACATGTCAGAAGTATTAAGATGAAAGGCCAATTGAATGTTTTAGAAATGGAAAGGGTATGAAAACAGTACATGCTGGAGGAATTGTTTTGGTAAATGGGTAATTGTCAATCCATCACTTCTTCTCTCTCTGGCTTCTAGGACAAAATGGACTGACTATTGGTTCAGCAGCTACAGCCAATTCAGTTTCTGTGATGAATTATAGTTTGTGCTAGTAATAAAGTCTATTTAAAGATAACAAAACCAGCAAAAAAACCAGATCTGTCAGTAGAACCATGATCATTAATTCACTGCCCTTATCTTCTGCAAGTAAACGTTTAATGGAATATATTTTTCAATCTGTTGCATGACAAGAGTTTGGTATGAGGAAATCAATTGATTCATTTGACAGCAGGCTGATAAGATGCATTACTCCATAGAAATCTTTGTTCTTTGTCTGTGGCACACTCTTATTAACATATAGGGTATTTATGTTTCTTTTCCTTGTTTCTAAATGGTAACATTAACTGTGGAGCAGACTGAGCTTCATCAGGAGTGGATGAAAGGACTCTCCATATTTCCAAAGAAACTAATCTAAACACACTTAAATATTAAAATAACCTAAACATTAAAATTTCTGACTGCTGGCACAGCGAATCTAGAAAAACCTGCCAAAAAAAAGTATTAATTCCTGATTCATATATGAGCTGCTGGTATCAAGGATTTTAGACCTACTTTCCCCTGGTCTGAAACATCTCACACAAAATGGAAGTTTCTATTCTGCCATCAGCCGATGGCACTGGCATCGTTGACAAACTTAAAGATGTGCAGAAGTGGTGAAAACCCATTAATTGTACAATATTTTATTTTCCTATTCTGTTGTTTATGCTGAAATTACAGAGCACAGCAAGACTGAGAGTTTCAAATTTAGTTGACTTCAGTTACCAATCTGAGTCCCATCAAGGGGACTTGGCACTTTGGAAATGGCAAATGAAGTACCTAGCCATGGAGGGGAAGTTTTAGTAGGGACACAAATGGATAAGTGAAACCTGGAAAAATACAAGGATGACACATGTGATGAACATTTTAGTAGATGGTTGGAAGAACCTAGAGGAAAGGTATCAGTAAAATATACGGAAATTTTAGTAGCTCTTTCAATGGCTGGATGGCACCTAAAAAAAGGAATGAGCAAATTGATATTAAAATTTTATTATTATTCCAGCAAGTGGGAACAAAATTATAACGTATTCAATCTGTAAGATAATACTAAAATTAAAAGCGAAGACATAAGCATCTAAATTGAATGAGTACAAGACAACATAGTAAATTTGGAGGAATTTGTGCTGATTCACTTTTTTTCTCTGAAAATAAAATGGATGATCACACACATCCTGAATTTTTACAACATTATTATATATATTTTTAAACTGGTTAATTTTATGAAAGAAAATTTTATGTTTACTGCTCTGAGTTACCAATATACAGAAAAATAACGATGAGATACAAAGAATTTACCACACTGTTTTTCATTTCATAGCCTTACAATGAACACAAAGGAATATAAATATGTAATTTCACACAGACAATAAGTACTAAAAGGAAATAGAACAGTAAAACAGACAAACAGATAGGTATGCTCTATATTCCTAATGTCTGTTAATTTTTTCTTAGGGATGAGGTGAAAATGATGGACTATGGGATTTACATGGACTACCAAGATATCTTCCTTAGATGTCAGCACAGTCCCATTCCAGGTTCCTGCAGTGTCTCATAAATTATCAGCAAACTGGTCACAACTGCTGGCACAAAAGTATTGTGTAATTGCTGTTGGAATTCAGATATGAATGTTTCCCATCTCTTTCTCATTCAGGGAAGTATCCAAAAAGCTGCAGAAAGTATTTTATATATAGCTTATATACAAGCTGACATCTAGCTGGTTCTGTTATAATTTCCTTGCTGAACTGTTCGTTTTCAAGTGTAAATGGTTTTGGAAAGATTGGAAGAATCGAACCTTTCCCATTTTTGTGAATTATATTCACCATTATAAAGATGATTTTGTTTTTTTCTGGCACAAAGACCTGAAGGAATCACTCAATGAAAATGTGCTTTTTCTTACTTGGTGACACTCTGCAATAAAACCAGTGCTGATAGGAACAGCTGCACTGTAACTAATTTTTAGAAGTAATACTACCGAGTGTCTGGCAATGACATCTACTTCACTTTGCAGAGGTGACAGTTTTACTGTAACATGGCAGAAGGTCATCTTCATATTAAAATTCAGACTTTGGCTGGAATTTTTACAGAGGCAACAGCTGCCACCGTGGACTGAAACTAGGCAAAGTTTCCACAGTAGGATCTCAAACAATATTTTTTGTAGTAAAATCCTCCTAGCACTAAAAGATTTCTCTCAGGAGGAACATTTTTCCTCCTAGAAAATACTTGTGTTCTTCACTAAATTCAAAAGAGAAACATAATAATGTGTAATAAGGTAATAGAAGTTTTGGATAAGTTACCTACCATGTTTTCATTTTTATTCACTGAAATGTAGGCTTGTAAGCAGTGAGGAAATCACCATTCATGTTCAGTTTGGGAACAAACATTTCCTTCATATCCAAATTAAAGCAAGCAGAACTAACTGTTGGAATAGCTTGAGGCAAGACCTTCATCTTTTTTCCTATCATTAGGCATGCAAATTATTCTGAATTTCATTTCCATTACTGAGTTGACAGATTTGATTACTCACACAAATTTTGTGTGTCAAAATAATTGCTCAATGCAAAGATAACTGGCAAAATAGCATGCACTGAAGCCTGGTTCAGCATTTTTATTTTCAAAAGGGTACTTGAATCACACATTCTTAGTGTTTATATTTTGACTCTGCTGAGAAAAATAGCCATGCATGCCATTGCCAAATAAATCTGCAAGTATCAAGTATGCATCCAGTCTGTCTAAAAGACAAGATTTTGTTTGGAAGACACCAAAAGCCAGAATACATTTTCAAGCAAGCCATTTCTTGATTTGCCATGAAAAAGCGTAGCCATGCCATATGAAAATCAAGCGTTGCATCAGTTGTAAGCATAACTTGGTCTGGTTTAGCCTTTGATCAGAATTCAGTTTAAAAAATGGGATTATTCTCTTCAAAATAACCCAGTGGGGTGTGTGATCTCTGTTTTGGCAGGGCTTCCACAAAAATTTGGCCTAGTTCACTCAAAATGTATCCTCCTAACCAGAGGAGCTAGAATATAATCTCAGCAGCACAAAGCTGTGTATTAAAACTGGAGCTGACTCTCGCATGTGTTGCTCGTGGAAGAGTTATCTATTTGTTCACAGCAGACAGTCCTCAGACACACTTTTCAGAACCTGTAAAGAGCTCAGCTCCTGGGCTCCCAGTGAGGATGGAAAGATGAATGTGTGATTTTTTGATTTCAGATGAAAAAATCTATGGAGATTTCTGAAAGGTAAAATATCAAGTTTCTGTGGGTGAACAGAAACAGCCTAGAATTACAGTAGGACATTGTCCACTTTATTTAAAAGCAACCAATGTGCACAGCATCTGGGTTTTAGCAAGCTTGGTCAGGGGCAACATCCAGACTCATTTAAACACAGCTTTTTGCTCATGCAAATCACTTGTAATTTGATCCATTAATTGAACAGTCAATATAAATACTGTTGCTAGAGTATCTGTCTGGTTTGCAGAATTTTGAAGATATTCACGAGTATCATAATTTCCTTGTGCTGGCTAAGTCATGCAGAAAAAGGATCTAGGAAGCCTCACATCACACTTCCGAAATTCAGCACAAAAAGTCTGAATGAAAGCCCAAACAATCCAGCATCAGAATAGCATTTAGGAATGTTATCTTTACTGCCCATTTTTATACTATGGTTCCAGACTTACCTTTACCCTTTTCATTTCCACCCTCCTGTGGTGTTGTTTGTTCTGTGTAGGAAGTACAAGTATAGTTTTGAGAGGATCTTAAAGTAAAAAGAAAGACTTACACAGCATTAAAAAATGCACGTTCTGCTAGTAGTGGAAAAGCAACATTAAAGAATGATTGATATATGTGTATACGTAAAATACAGTTGCAATCACATAAAGCATTTTACAACCTGTGCATATCAATGCAATTTCTGTTTGTTTGTTCTTACATGAACAAGTCATGTAAGATTGATGCTCCTGGACTCAGTGGAAGAAAAATGCTGGGTTTTTTAGAAGCAGCAGTTGTTAGTCTCTTGTTCATGGGAAGATTCACAAAAGCTTTTGAAATTTTTTACATATCACTGTTAATTGGAAAGACATTGGATCAGACATAAGTTACTGCCACTCAGTTAATCCTTGAGAAAAATTACAGAGAGGGTGTATTGAGGATGTTCTTTAATTCTTTATCATCATCTTCATCATTATCTGCATAGTCTTGCCAAGACAACTTGTATTTAGTTTTCTTGATCAGAACTGCCAGCCTGTCATCTACTCTGAGCAGGTGAATGGGAATTATTTTTGATTTCATCTGTATGAGAAAACTCGTACTGTGCTTTGAACAAACCACCAATTTCCACACTTTGTGTGTTTCAGGATTTGATAGGATTCCTATTGGTTTTGTTTTCCTGCTTAATTCGATCTAGAATCTTGTCAAATCATGTGAAGTGTGCTGTCTTCGATGTACAAACACAATACCCGGTTGCCTGTGAACAATGGCTTTCTGTGGCAAACTTACCTGCCAACTGCCTGACAGAACATGGGTTTGGGTGATGGTTGATAGACTAACACTGTCAAGATGGAATTAAGAAAATTTTTGTTCCATGGAGAAAACATCTGCAAGAGCCAGCTGATTGTCCTCATTTCTTGTTCACATGTGTGCAGACACTGTAACTATGAAAATTAAAGCTGAAACTTAAAATGAAACTCCACATTCTGGTAGCGTGACGGACTCATAGATGCTTCTGTCTGGATTCCCTAAATTCCCAAGCTCCAGTTGTCAGGTTGTCCATCTTGGTCAGATGTTCCTTTTTAACGGGGCTTTTGCTACAGTAACACTTTCTTTCCCCAGAAGGAACTGGCATCAGGAGATTGGTAACAGATGGTAGCACGTCTACTTCATCATCTACTACTTCATCACTCAAAGTGTTCCTCACCTGTGGCTTGACACTGAGATGTGGAAAGACTTCTCACAATGACTTCCCAAACATGTCCTGGTGCAAGGTGTTTGATTATGTCCAATAAACTATTTGTAAGTTATAAAATTTGGAATCTTGAAACCAGCTTCCCTCTGAGGGTATTAGCACTTGATAACCCAAGATGCCAGCATCTTGAGTCAGGCAGAAGGAAGCTAGAGGTGACTGGCACGTCCAGCTTAGAAACATCTCAGATTGATCTGTGCCTAACCATAAAGGTCTAATGACACCCTACTTATTTTTCAGAAGAAAAACAGGTAAGGAGAAAAGAAAGGAGGCTATAGAAGCAATTTTGCATTTAATCCTGTGTTTTTAAATAGAAAGGAAGACGGTAATTATTCAAAAATGTTAGATGTTTTAATATAATGCTTCACAGATGCTATTCCTTTATGTATACAAAAAGCTGTTTCTTATTTTGGTTCTACTTGAAAGTTGAGATTGATTAAAAACATGAATTCAAGTACAAAGTATATCAGGTAAGACCCTAAGGGTAAAATTAATTAGTTTAATATTAACTGTACAAATTTTATGGTTGAGTAAAATATCATTAATTAAAAACCAATTAAGTTTCCTTACAAATATATGCAATATGAAAGAGTTCATCACATAAAAATAATATGTGGATAATTTAACCATGAAACTCCTTGTGGCAAATGATACCTTTGTCATTTTTTAATCAAAGGGAGTATTGTTGAAACAAGGACATCTTGAAACAGTCTTATAAAATACCAGTTAGGAAGACAGTAAGTAAAGGCAGATTTAACACTTGTAGGGTATTTGTTCTGTTTTAAATTGCTATTTAGGGTGCTATAAAGAGTATAAAACTCACCAAATGGTTAAATTAGACATGCATACTGTAGATACATGTATTAACCATTATCTGAGAATGTAAGTGAAGTTACTCAGTGGCACAGGGCAAAGGCTTGCCTGCCTTTCCAGCTCCTACCAGAGAGAATTCTTGTGCTTTGAAGAGCTTCAGCTCTACCTGAAGCCCTCATCTTATGAATGAGTTTTGCCTCACCTTTGGCTTCCTGGAGCTCAGCCACTCCATTCTAGACAATCAATCAGACTGCTCAGGGCAACTGCCTGCACATGGATATCTGGTGACATTTTAGATAGCTTACCTGGGAAATGCCCACTGGATGGGCATGTATGACCCAGGATCTGCTCCACTGGTCAGAGGTGGAGCTGCTGAACTACTCAGACATGATACATCATTTTCAAATGGTTAAAAGTAAGTGAAATTAATCCCATGCTTGCTTCTGTCAACTTTACTCTCAGTGTATCTTTTAGGTGAAATGAAAGGGAGTATTTTGGTAATTACATTCTGCCCAGCATCAAAGAGGACAGCATAATTTAACCACACAATTTAAGCAGACATGATTTACCTGTATGCTGAAGGACATGTGCAATATTCAGCAAAGAGCTAATCACTCACAAACAAAAATTGAGTCTGAAAAATCAGTAATCAGACAAAGTGAAGTGAGGATATCTTACTTGGGCAGGCTTTTTTTTTACTTTCCTTACTGTCCTCTTACTTTCAAAGAGACAATGAACACAAACCATATTATGGCTATGCAGTGTCTGTTGTTAGTGCCAGAGCTCAAATTAGCATTTTTTACACTAACCTGGAGGTGGCGGTGCACTTTCATTTTCAGTTTCTGAAAAATGAGGAAAGAAGACAGATATTGAGCTTCAAATACAAGCAAATGTTTTTCATACATTTGGTATACATTTGTTGACTTTGAGTTCTTTAATATTTAAATGCAGCTGTGAAATTTATTTTGCTTTCTACACACAACATGTGACAACTTCAGAGTGACAAGGTCAGAAATCTGAAGCTCTTGTTCTGCAAAGAGAAGTTAGAGAAATTGTTCAGTGTGGAGATGGATAATATTCATAGAAATGTAGAATCCTTTAGGCTGGAAAAGATCTTTAACATCATTGAGTCCAACCACTAACCCAGCACTGCCAAGTGACCACTGAACCACATCCCCAAGAACCACATCTACACATCTTTTAAATTCCTCCAGGGATGCTGAGTGCAACACTCTAGGCAGTCTGTTCCAGGGATCAACAACCCTTCCAGGGATGAAATTTTTCCTAATATCCCATCTCAACCTCTCCTGGTGCAACTTGAGGCCATTTCCTTTTGTGCTATCACTTGTTACTTGGGAGAAGAGATTGATCTCTATCTGTCTGCAGGTTCCTTTCAGGTAGTTTTAGAGAGTGATAAGGTCTCTCACTCATGTGCAAAATTAAGCAAAATTTCCACCAACTGAAATAATACCAGACATTACTTTAACTGTGAAGTGTAATGGATCCATTAATTTAGGGGGATCATGCAGAGTGAATCCAGAGACCTTAATCTCATTTTCACCACACCATTAGACCTAGAGATCAATGTTCAGTGCAAGCAGAAATTAAAACAACAACAAAAAATGTTTAGTTGCTCTGTGTAGGATCTGCAGTATGTTTGGATTTTCCTCCTTTCAATGCTTTCAATCCCTTTCCAATGTGTGATACAGAAACCAGGCTTTTTATTCCATTTAAATGTTATCCTTTTGGGATGACATGTTTTCCTATCTAAAAACATAAGAAAAAATGACTAGCTAAAATAGGATGACATGTTTTCCTATCTAAAAACATAAGAAAAAATGACTAGCTAAAATAGCTAAAATAGATTTTCAAAAAGAAAAGGAAGCTTATTTTCAACATTTAAAAAGTTTAGTAGTCTAGACAGGTTGAAAACAGCAATGTTTTTTGGCACTAAAATTGACTTACAGTTTAATTACTTATAACAAGCAAAGATTTAAAAGGTTGAAACCCTGAACTGTAAGAGTGGATGGCTCTTAATAACCTTTATCATGTTATGGACATTAACCCTTGGAACCCCACCTCAGGTCAGATTCAGGAGAAAAATTTCAGTATCTGTCACTCAGCAATGCTGGTAAGGCTATTTCTTTACACTCAGTTCTAAATGTAACCAAACCACAATTCTCATTCTTAATAAATCCATTAAATGTTTTAAAGGGAGGAATATTTTTAATGCAAATACAATTTTAAGCTGAGTGTGTGCATTTGTTATGGTGTAGGAACTTCCAGTCACATACACAGATACAACAGCAAATCCTTGCAGAGGTTCCAAAGAGAATCCCTTGCTACAGGGAAAGAGCTTGTATTGTAAGTTCTGGTCACAGCACCCACCACACAGAATGGAAGCAAGTGTATTAAAGACCAACACACAGAGTGTGAGAATAAAGAAATATCTTTACATGGGTTCATAGCAATTTATTTTTTTCTGGTCTCATTACTGACATACTAAGTTTTGTTTTATGGCCTAGAAAAATAAGAAAAATTTTCATATGAAAACTTGAAACTTATATCACAAAGAGTATGTCTTGGAACTTATTTGTTTTCCTACCATGACATTTCTCACTGTTTCTGTTGAGAGTAAGATATTCCACAGAGACATCATTGTGGCATGAAAGTATGTTTCTTGCATGGAAAAGTAATAGCAGAAAATTATTGGTTGCATAATTTTCCTTGTGAAAATTAATAGCTAGAAACAGGGAGTATTCTTATGAATACTGGATTATAAAATCCTCACTGGCTTACCAGTAAGAGTTACAAACTTATAATTAAAAACTCAACAAATAAAGCACTTTCCACTCTCAGATGAAAGGCCTATGAGACTTTGAGGGACTTCCCTTGAATTTTTCTTTCATTTTGAGAGGTATTCTGTGGCTTCACCAACACTGTAACGTTGCTCAGCAATCACACATCTTACAAGTCCTGCCTCACCCAGCACAGATGTTAGCCAAAGCCCACGGCACAGACCAGGCCTGAAACATTATCATTATAGTCTAAACTTCTTCTCATGCATGCAGACAACAAAAGGAGACATTCAAAATCTGAGCACTCTCACAGGCAACCTACACCATTGGACCCTGTTCCTANCCACTCCATTCTAGACAATCAATCAGACTGCTCAGGGCAACTGCCTGCACATGGATATCTGGTGACATTTTAGATAGCTTACCTGGGAAATGCCCACTGGATGGGCATGTATGACCCAGGATCTGCTCCACTGGTCAGAGGTGGAGCTGCTGAACTACTCAGACATGATACATCATTTTCAAATGGTTAAAAGTAAGTGAAATTAATCCCATGCTTGCTTCTGTCAACTTTACTCTCAGTGTATCTTTTAGGTGAAATGAAAGGGAGTATTTTGGTAATTACATTCTGCCCAGCATCAAAGAGGACAGCATAATTTAACCACACAATTTAAGCAGACATGATTTACCTGTATGCTGAAGGACATGTGCAATATTCAGCAAAGAGCTAATCACTCACAAACAAAAATTGAGTCTGAAAAATCAGTAATCAGACAAAGTGAAGTGAGGATATCTTACTTGGGCAGGCTTTTTTTTTACTTTCCTTACTGTCCTCTTACTTTCAAAGAGACAATGAACACAAACCATATTATGGCTATGCAGTGTCTGTTGTTAGTGCCAGAGCTCAAATTAGCATTTTTTACACTAACCTGGAGGTGGCGGTGCACTTTCATTTTCAGTTTCTGAAAAATGAGGAAAGAAGACAGATATTGAGCTTCAAATACAAGCAAATGTTTTTCATACATTTGGTATACATTTGTTGACTTTGAGTTCTTTAATATTTAAATGCAGCTGTGAAATTTATTTTGCTTTCTACACACAACATGTGACAACTTCAGAGTGACAAGGTCAGAAATCTGAAGCTCTTGTTCTGCAAAGAGAAGTTAGAGAAATTGTTCAGTGTGGAGATGGATAATATTCATAGAAATGTAGAATCCTTTAGGCTGGAAAAGATCTTTAACATCATTGAGTCCAACCACTAACCCAGCACTGCCAAGTGACCACTGAACCACATCCCCAAGAACCACATCTACACATCTTTTAAATTCCTCCAGGGATGCTGAGTGCAACTCTCTAGGCAGTCTGTTCCAGGGATCAACAACCCTTCCAGGGATGAAATTTTTCCTAATATCCCATCTCAACCTCCCCTGGTGCAACTTGAGGCCATTTCCTCTTGTGCTATCACTTGTTACTTGGGAGAAGAGATTGATCTCTATCTGTCTGCAGGTTCCTTTCAGGTAGTTTTAGAGAGTGATAAGGTCTCTCACTCATGTGCAAAATTAAGCAAAATTTCCACCAACTGAAATAATACCAGACATTACTTTAACTGTGAAGTGTAATGGATCCATTAATTTAGGGGGATCATGCAGAGTGAATCCAGAGACCTTAATCTCATTTTCACCACACCATTAGACCTAGAGATCAATGTTCAGTGCAAGCAGAAATTAAAACAACAACAACAAAAAATGTTTAGTTGCTCTGAGTAGGATCTGCAGTATGTTTGGATTTTCCTCCTTTCAATGCTGATTTTTAATGTAAATCACTTCCCTTTCCAATGTGTGATACAGAAACCAGACTTTTTATCCTATTTAAATGGTATCCTTTTGGGATGACATGTTTTCCCATCTAAAAACAAAAGAAAAAAATGACTAGCTAAAATAGATTTTCGAAAAGAAAAGGAAGCTTATTTTCAACATTTAAAAAGTTTAGTAGTCTAGACAGGTTGAAAACAACAATGTTTTTTGGCACTAAAATTGACTTACAGTTTAATTACTTATAACAAGCAAAGATTTAAAAGGTTGAAACCCTGAACTGTAAGAGTGGATGGCTCTTTATCACCTTTTTATTATAACCTTTATCATGTTATGGACATTAACCCTTGGAACCCCACCTCAGGTCAGATTCAGGAAAAAAATTTCAGTATCTGTCACTCAGCAATGCTGGTAAGGCTATTTCTTTACACTCAGTTCTAAATGTAACCAAACCACAATTCTCATTCTTAATAAATCCATTAAATGTTTTAAAGGGAGGAATATTTTTAATGCAAATACAATTTTAAGCTGAGTGTGTGCATTTGTTATGGTGTAGGAATTTCCAGTCACATACACAGATACAACAGCAAATCCTTGCAGAGGCTCCAAAGAGAATCCCTTGCTACAGGGAAAGAGCTTGTATTGTAAGTTCTGGTCACAGAACCCACCACACAGAATGGAAGCAAGTGTATTAAAGACCAACACACAGAGTGTGAGAATAAAGAAATATCTTTACATGGGTTCATAGCAATTTATTTTTTTCTGGTCTCATTACTGACATACTAAGTTTTGTTTTATGGCCTAGAAAAATAAGAAAAATTTTCATATGAAAACTTGAAACTTATATCACAAAGAGTATGTCTTGGAACTTATTTGTTTTCCTACCATGACATTTCTCACTGTTTCTGTTGAGAGTAAGATATTCCACAGAGACATCATTGTGGCATGAAAGTATGTTTCTTGCATGGAAAAGTAATAGCAGAAAATTATTGGTTGCATAATTTTCCTTGTGAAAATTAATAGCTAGAAACAGGGAGTATTCTTATGAATACTGGATTATAAAATCCTCACTGGCTTACCAGTAAGAGTTACAAGCTTATAATTAAAAACTCAACAAATAAAGCACTTTCCACTCTCAGATGAAAGGCCTATGAGACTTTGAGGGACTTCCCTTGAATTTTTCTTTCATTTTGAGAGGTATTCTGTGGCTTCACCAACACTGTAACGTTGCTCAGCAATCACACATCTTACAAGTCCTGCCTCACCCAGCACAGATGTTAGCCAAAGCCTACGACACAGACCAGGCCTGAAACATTATCATTATAGTCTAAACTTCTTCTCATGCATGCAGACAACAAAAGGAGACATTCAAAATCTGAGCACTCTCACAGGCAACCTACACCATTGGACCCTGTTCCTAGCAGAGAGCTTGGACTAGACTATCTCCAAAGGTCCATCCCCAAAGGTCCTTTCCAACACAGCTATTCTGCAATTCTGTGATGGGATGAGGACAGAAGACAGACAAAGTCAGTGGTTTGTTTCCTAAACCGTAATTCGAGGCTGTTCAGGGCATTGATAAGAAAACTGAGTCAAGAATGGAGCCCAAAGAAGAGACCTGAATTATAAGATGGAAAGAAAAGCGAAAAGGGGAGAGTTCCAGGGACTGGGGGAGGCAGAGACATGGGAGATACTTCGTAATCTTTTGGCCATGAGCAACCCCTTTCATGGTCATGCCTGGCTTACAGTTCCATTCCTGAGGACAGCCAGGAAAAAAACCATTAATAGCTCCGAGTAGTTTCCACCTCCCCAAAGAATGACAGCCCTCTCTGGCTGACCTCTGCAACAGGCTTGTCAGCCAGGACAGGGCTCTGCACACTCAACCAGCAGCTTATGGCTGTGCTCCTTCCCTCGGAGGCATGCTCCCTGGAGTCCCCACATGCCATTCCCCATGGCCTGTTGCCTAATATGGCACTCTGGCCAGGCATTGTCAGGGCATTGCTGGTGGAGAGAGGCTCCAGCACGTAATCCTCAAACCTTTTGGAGAAGTGCAGTTCACTGGGTTGCAATGATGCCTCTTGAGCTACAGGGGAAAGAGGCTGTTGAAGGTCCAGTTACCGCTGAATCAACACCATAACGTCAAGTGCACCTTCTACAGAACAAATAAAGTTAGCTTCTGCTTCAGAATTCCAAAAAAGCAAGGGTCTCTTCTTTGCAGTTCTTTATCTGAGAATTTGAGAATGTTGCATTTCAGTGGGTTGTGTCGTGCTAAACACAGACCTTGGGTCAGTCATTGTTTGTGAAACTGGTAATGCGCTGGCTATATGTAATTCTACAGCAAGAATAGGATGAACTCAGCAGTCCTCTCTAAATGGCTACTCAGGAAAGATAGTGTGTTAAGTGCAGTTAGAGAATAAAATGAAAGCACACTGTGACTTAGATAACATCTCCAGAAATGCTTTCATGCCTCAGCCATGTCATGAGATGCATTGAGGATCCAGTTTGACACAGGATATGAGCACTTAGAGCCAAGACATTTTTATTTGTAATTTATAATTATATATGCACACACACACTTGAAAATCAGCAGGAGATGTAACTTGACCCATTACCAAGAATTTTCCATCTCTTCTTCATATTTATTGTGTTCAGTTTTTCAGATGAAGTAAGACTTAAGATCTCTTACTGTGTATATAGAAAACTAAGCTTAAAGTTCTATGATAGTAAGTGATGTGCTAAAGTTATGAAGATACTTAAGAACCATGTTAAATTAAGGCTATCATTATTTAAAATTTCAATTCCATTTTAGGTCTGGCTGCACTGGCATCCGACCTGCAGCAGCCAGAAGAAGCTTTGGCAGGGAATTGACATAGGGATGTCAGCTTGTGTGTGGTGGCCAGTTCTCAAGGGCTCTGAATTCCCGCTTCCATTGGCTTCTCTGGCAGCACAAAGCATAGTAACTCCCTGACATCACATATATTACTTTTCACACTGGAGTGCAATCATAATGAGGCATGATGATGGTTCTAAAGCAGTCTCCAGGTCCTGCTCTACTGCTGTGCTGAAAGCAAAGTATCCTGGAGACCTGCAGTTCAGACCGTTCAAGAACTACAGCCTGTCAGCAGGCATACTGGAAATGAAGTCTGGCTGGGTAACCCTTTCTATCATTCAGCTCTGTACTCATGACCAGCTCTGTTTTGGGTAGGCTTAAGAACTTTCAGTCATTTTGGAAAATGAGTAGTGGGTGTTTTTTTGGGGTTTTTTTTGCCTTAGGTAAGTAAAGGAGATGACCTCGGGCATTAAATCAGAGCTTGCAGAAAGCCTAAAGATAGCATTTCACTGTCACTGGGCTGGAACATTCACAGGAAGGAGGAGAAAAGTCTCCTGCACTAATTTCTCCCTGCAGTTCTATACAGATCAGTTACAGCCTGGCAAAGAATAGCCAAGGGATTCAGGATCTCACCCAGTCTGAGCAGAGGACTTATCCCCCATTTACCTGGAAAGGAAAGCAAGACTATGGCTGCACCATCATGGACACAGGTATGATATCTGTCTTTGCAACAGCAACATATTAAAGAGACTCTCATATGTCAAACAACATGAGGATAGTCACTTAGAGCTTTTTGTCACAAAGACCTGTCACCGTCAACGTGTGTCCGATTTAAGTCGACGGATTAATCTTGCGGACATAGCCTCGAGGGATCAGACCAATATAACCATTACGTAGGCATTCCTGAAGTGCTGACTCTGCTAGTCAGACAAGAATAGACAAAATGCTGGTTTGGGGAGAGAGCAGGGCTTACCCCAGCTCCTGTGCAGTTGTCATGTGTCAGGATTGTCCCCTGTGCCTGACACCAGAACCATCCCAAAAAAGCGGCCAGGCTTTCTCCTGAGGTAAATGCTCCACTGAAATGAGTGGGCAGGGAAGGACTAAGGATGTGGAACTGTTGCTTAACAGACCTCATGTCCAGATCAGCAGCAGACAAAAGCAGTAAAGTTTATATGTTGTTATAGGACACAGAATGATCCACACAGACACTGTTCAATGTATGATAGGGAAAAAATTACTTTGGTTTTTCTGACTCTAGTATTTATAGATTCTCAACAATGACCAGGGATTGGATAGTCAGGTTAGCACCTTCCCAACCACACTG